TAGTCATAATTTTTATTTAAATTGCGTTAATTTACGTATGCCATTCAGTACAACTTGCACATTTAAACTTTGTCTAGTCAAATTCCTACCTCAGTTTTATTTGCATTGATTAATTTGTTTCATTAAGTACAATATGCAGTATACATTGTTGATACTATAGTACGCATTTAGTGCTATCACGCATAAACAAAGTGATAAATTAGCAACAATCCAGAGGATAAAATGCCATGCGTACGACAGAGATGGTGCTGTTTGCACCTTTTCTCAAGACCTCAAAATTTATACCTGCCTGCATATCTATATATATATTATCTTTGTTTGGCCCCCCTTCATCCTTCATCCCAACCCCCTTTTACCACCCTTATCCCACATCCCATTCTGTATTCCCACGTACCCCTTAAACTCTTCATCCTCCTCCCTCTGCCAGCTCCGGACCCTTTGTTTCTCCTCTTTGCCATATGTTATCTTATGACTCTTGAGTATTTAGAATTGGAGACATAAAGTTTAAGAATATATTTGTCATGAATATCCCAAGCCTAAACCAATTCTGTTTATACAGAATATTGTTTACTATTCATTCAAATACATTGTGTATCAATAATCAATTTATCTTCTCCACAATCCCATTGATTTTAGACGTTTAAATTTAATAAAATGATCTAAAAAGTTATTTATCTTTCTATTACTGAATTAGAAAAAAATAGAATTATACTGGTTTAATTAAGAGTTTCATCTTTACTTTAACTTATTAAATCTTACTGAGAGACACCACAGCTAGAAGAGATACCAAGAAGCACTGCGGATAGGGATTTATTTATAAAAAAGTAAGCACTATCACATCACTTAACTTCTTAACTTTACGTACTATAAGTAAGAGAAAAGAAAATTTATTTGGTTATTTACAAGAACTATAAACTAGTTTTATTCTCTTCCATAGGTATTCAACAAGATAAGTAATGACTGGAAAGATGTAAGATTTCAAATTAAAATCAATTCAAAATCAAATAAGATTTTATTAAAAATGACATTAATAAAAATTAATTACCAATCTTGCCTTATCACGCACATTTAAATATTCGAGCTGGGCCAACCTTTGCAGTCCTAGTTTGGACTGTACCGCACATTTATAATTACCAAAGCGGCAGACCGTGTGTTTTCTGTGTCCGAATTTAATGAATTTGAGCCGCGTCTTAAATCCGCCAAAAACCGGTTTCAATTGAGCGCCGGCTTAAATCTTGAAACATTGAATACAATTTTAAGTGAAACCAACGAAATTTGATCCGCTGTTTAAATTTAAGCCGCCGCTCAAATTCTTTAAATTTGGCCTCTGTATTATTAGTGCTAAACTATGTATTTTCCAACTATCTTTGTTTTGAAAATTAAGTGTAAAGAAAACAGCGGGATAACAAAACAATCTCATGTAAACAAAAACAGGAAATGCTTTTATAAAATAGAACTATAGTTTTACAAGCAAAGAAAATAAAATGAAACTCATTTCTATAATAATATTTTCAATTAAAAACCAAAATAATTTTCCTCAGAATTTCATGGCAAAATTTAATTTTTAGTTTAATTTTGACAGAGTTTTACCTTGAATAAATATAGTTTATACTGTAGAGAGTAAACAATAAATGTTTTTAACTTCTACTTTATAATAAAGTACCTGCAAACATTCAAGGGTTTACACACAAAGGTAAACATTTTAGTTGGACACGGTAAAGAGTCTGTAAATGTAATTTCAAGTGACCCTCCATTTAGAGTAATATTCCTCATTCACAGCAGTACCCTTTATAGCATTTTCTCTACAAAAGGGTCTTGCAAATTTCTACCGTAGGAAAACAATGTAAGAAATATCAGAATTGAAAACTTATAAAACTAGAAAAACAACGTTATCTTCTATATTATTGATAAGATACAGGGTTCCGTGATGAATCTTTATAAACCATTAATTTTGCCATATCAAAAGTAAATATCTAATAATAACACTATTTACAAAATTATGATATGTCTAGCTTAGGAACCAAGCTTTGCCTGGATACCAAGTTTTCCAAATAAAATTTAACCCACAAAATGGAATTTTGAACAAACATAAGAACATTCCCGTAGTCCTACCGAGTTTCCTAATCAACACTATAGTTTCAGTAGAAGTAAATATTTCCATTTACTGTTATAGCGTCGATATCTCTAATTGGATAATGAGATAGATAGAAAGATAGATGTTACCACCATGCAATTTCTATTGGTTCAGAATAGACAACAAACACATGGCTGAACCCTGATTGGATCAGGCGCTAATGAACTCGACATACTAGAGTGTCAAAAGGCAAAGGGTTCATTAGTTATGATCTAACATCCAAACAGAAAAACACACAGGCAAACAGAGATTACAACTTTATATTTATCACTTCTATATGCCGAGTCCATTAGCGCCTGATCCAATCAAGGTTCAGTCATGTGTTTGTTGTCTATTCTGAACCAAAAGAAATAGTATGGCGGTAACATTTATCTTTCTATCTATCTCATTATCCAATTAGAGATATGAATCCTTAATTCGGAGCTATCAGTAAATAGAAATATTTACTTCTACCGAAACTATAGTGTTATGCTAGCTTGAGAACCCAGCGTTGCCTTTTGTCCAGGGTACTCATAGTTACTTCCGTACGTCTTTTACCTATTTTACCAATTTTACCAGTTTTCCCTATACAAGTAGACCCACCCAACTTAGAATCTCCAAACCAAGCTAAGAACATTTCCGTGGTTGTCACATGTTCCCCAATCAAAATCAGAGGCAAAGGGTTCAAAAGTTAAGATCGGACATAGAAACAGACAAACACAGATTACCGCTTCATAATATTTATACATTATATGCGACCATAAAGCATTCTTAAAAACACTTTTTTTAATACAACTTTTAATCAAGAAAGTCAATAAATGTTTTGTTAAAAGTATTTGGTATTAATCGTTCGTACAAAGGAATTGTGTCTTTGCAACAAATTCAGTTTTTGTAAAATCTATAATTTTGCAACCTTATGATGTGAACCTTTGATATTTCAAACTTACATTATTTGATCTAATAGCATTCATAGTTTGTCCCCCCTCAGCATATCCTGGTTTTCAAGTACCCCAGCAGGGATAGGGTTAAAGGTCTACGACATCGGATTGCAACGATATTGAAATTAGAAAATCAGAGTTTGAATCAAAAACTCAATTCCTTTACTCCACTGTTTTTAAGACCTCCATGGACTATACAGAAAGTATTTAAAATATAAAGAAAAAACTTGAAATCTTGAAACAGAAACTGAAAGTGTCAATGTTTTCCTCAAACGAGTGCAATTTTCTTACTCCAGGGAATAGAAGAAAGAAAATTCAACTGAAGTGTGAAATGTCATTTCGTAGAAAAAGATATATTCAAACATAAAATACAAATTAAAATCCTTCATTGCTTGGAATAGAAAATAAAATAAAAATTATTTTTAAAATCTTCTTTTTTTTAATTGTTTAGCTCGTTGAGCCAAATGAATAGAAAAGTCTAAATTGATATCCTTATTTATTTGCAACCTGGCGGTGTAAACCTTTGATATTTCGAACTTTGACTGTTTGAGATTCATAGTTTGAAATATCAAAGGTTTATAGATTTTAAATGGTTTAGGAGTGGAAAATTAGAGTTTGAGGCTATTGTTCAGTTTATCATTAATGTACATTTTTCTACATTAGAACTTAAAAGAGTGCTTTATTCAATATACAATATACAATATATTTTTTTTCTGATAACACTTTCTTGTTTTTTTTTCTGATAACACTTTCTTGTTTTTTTTTCTGATAACACTTTCTCGTTTTTTTTCTGATTAATTAACAAAGCAAATATATGCCTAGTAAAGTAAATACACGAGTAATCAAGGTTTGCATGGCTGGTATTTTACTCACTCCAGATGATGGGGTTGCTTCTGTAAGTTCTAACCACTGGGAGGAATGATGCCCTGAATACCGAAGAATTTTTTAAAAAGGAATAAAACATTTTTTTATTCGATTCTCAACGACGGTGCCCTTAAAAACTTTGTCATATGTATAATGAATAAGATATCCAACATTTTCTCTGTGAAAATTGATTATTTTCTATTGTTGTTTTAATAAGTTACTTGATGATTTCTGGTAAAAAGGTCATTCAAAATTTACTTTGACTATCCATTGAAAATAAAATTAAGTTAATTTTTTTCTTCATTTTGTTAATGTTCTTACAACAAAAATTATGCTTTTCATCCTTTTTTTATAAGCCATCATCTTATAACAATTACTCATCGCTGGAAACATAGAATGACGTCATTAATATGAATTCAATTATTGATCAAAATAGCATTTGCTGTAATAACTGAAGTAGGAACTAATAAATAGCTTGAACTTTGAATTTACTTTGTATCTGGTACAGTACCTAGTCCTAGAGTACCAAAAGTGACTCTTTAAATGTGACGATCTGAAGATTGAATTTTAGTTTGTAAATAACATCAAAGGAATTGAGTCTTTGCAACAAACTCTGATTTTCTAATCCCTATACCTTTGCTAACCAATGTTGATACCTTAGATATTCAAATAATGAATTATGTTGCATAACAAATATTAGTTTGAAATATCAAAGGTTTACACCTTCAATTTGCAGAGATATAGAGATTTGAAAATTTGAATATTTGGCAAAAACTCAATTCCTTTAAATAGATTGGCAAAGAAAGAAAGAAGATGACGGTTTCAATGTAAACTAAATAATGGAATGTAAGGCAAAAAAATGAATAAATTCCGAACAGTCGCTATTGAAGTCGAATCCTTCGGACATGGTTCAACTAGCCGTGCTTAATTCAATTACTTCTTACTATTCGTTGATTCTGATTTTCGATTTGGTTGTCTGTTTAGTATCCTTGCCTGTGCACTCTGTATAATGAGGTTCCACAGGTCCACTGGTCATATTACAAGCAGAGCTCTTGCTGGTATGTAGCTCGCATACTTGTGATTCAGTATTGTACACAAAATAAGATGCTCCGCTGCTTTCGAAGTTTTTCAGAAACCTCTGACATTCCTGGGAGTTTGCAGCTGGGGCCCTGACATCGAGTTAATAAAAATTATTTATATGTAATTCTCAAATTAACTTGGTGTTTTAAATCTTTAATATAATAAACTTTGACTATTTGGTCAAGTAGAAATATTGTCGGTTATTATAAAATGTCTAAGAGAAAATGTGATTATTTTTCATTGTTTTTCATTCTACTTTCGGTCAAGCATAATAGTTGTGATAAACTTCTTTATATATTTTTAGTAACTCCCACGCCATGGTTTGAAATTAGAAGATTAAAAAAGTCTTTGCCATGATCTTAATTTTTTCCATCCCTATTTCTGTGCAACCTGATGGTGTAAATCTTTGAAATTTCAAACTCTGATTATTTGATCTAACAAAATTAATAGTTAAAAGAAATAGGGATTAGAAAATCAGAATTTGCAGCGAAGACTCAATTCCTTTTGAATAAAAATTTGATCTTTGCCTTAGTATTTCTGTTGTTGGATATTCACAATTCTGTCTCACGAAACTACTGCAGCTTCTCTCCATGTGCCAATCACAGTCTACTAGATCAGGGATAGATGTTCCTCCGATAATATTGCAGTTATCGAGATACCTAAACTAGGCACCTTAGATTATGCTTTTATTGTTGCATTTTAGAAATTTTAATTACAATGTTCGGCAAAAAGATGTATCATAAAGTTATAAACAGGATAAAATTTGTATTAAAAAAATCAAGCTAAACGGGTTTCTTGTTTTATACTCAGCAAATATATTTATACATTTTTAAAGACTTTTATTTAAATGGCGAAAGAAATTATACAAATTGAAGTTTTAGGATTTTTTCCGGTGATTTTAGGATAGGATACATGACAATACATACAAGTGCCAGGACATTTAATAGCATTAAAACAGAATAATTTCCTCTCTATTTCTGTAAAAACATCGGCGACAATTGAGAGCAAATCTGTTATGTAAAACTCGTCTACGATTTATTGATACAAACGCCTACCACTGTATTAAAAATGGAGTTTTAAAATTTCAGCTGATCATCTTTAAATCAGTGTTGATTATAATATTTCAACAAAGACAGAACTTGAAAGAATTATCAGTGTTTTAATGGGAGTGACTGTAGCTAGATATGGTAGTTGAGCTGAGAGTTCGAAAGTATAGAAGAGCGAGTTTGCGGTCTTATATCTAGCAATAATGTAAAACGTAAAACGTCTTCTGAGCATTATTCTATAATACTGCACTCTCAGTTCAACTACCATACCTAGCCAGTCACTCCCTTTAATGAAAGAACTAGATATACCTGTACTGATACAAATAACATTTTTCAATCATCACATCATAAGTGAAGTATTTACAGCCTTCAATAACCCCGCAAACGTCCTGGCAAATTTGTATGGAATCCGTCACATACGGTAGATCGTAGATATCAATCAAACGATCCTGAAATATGGATGATTTAAGATCTAAATAATTCATTATTTGTATCGTTTGTCTAGTTGTTATAGTTTCTACGTTACATGAGATGCTGAGGGTGCAAAAATATAAACCTTTTTAATTTGAATTTTTTTGCAAAAAGGGTAAAAATTTTAAGGGAAAATACAACAAAATACCCCATTTTTAGGAAACAGAAATAAAACTTATCATATCTTCAGATCAACGATGTTTCCAATGATGGTTACATTCTGTCAAAATAACCCTCGCTTTTAACTCAAGGAAATCTGAGCCCGCCATTTAAAAAATTCGGGAAAACACGGCTCGAGTCGAAGCTGTCGTTGGGCCTTGAGCTTTCGGATTCAAGCTGCATCTTATTTTCCACAGAATTGAGTTCAAAAACCGGTTTTATATTTTATTTGGCTGATTTTAATGGCAGGAATTGGCGCATTCCGAGTTTTTATGAGAACAAGACGCAACATTGAGCCTTATTCTCCACTAAAACCAACCACGGTCGGTTTTATTTTCATTGGTCCTAACTCCTTAAGTCAAGCCGAAGATCTTGCAGCTGTCAATCACGTGACACAAACTGTCGTCAGAGTTGGATCGAAGATTGAGTCTTAAAGTCGGGGTTAAGGAATTACGACTCAAACCGTTTTTTAAAGTTTTTAAATTGCGGGTTCTGAGTTGCTCATAAATTTTCTGGATTTTAATATGCTAAATTTTCAACAGTATATATTACTATACTGTCTGTTAGATTTTTAAATTAAGTGATCTTAGCTTTTTCAAACAATATAAAATTTATAAAATTTTATAAAATTTTATAAAATTTTAAAAAATTTTATTAGGGTTTCCAACACAAGAGGATTTTACTTGCGCACAATTGCGAGCCATTGCGCGCGCGACAGTGAATTTAATTGCACGCAATTCCGTCCACTTTTTTTACGTTTGTGTATTAATTTTTGATAATATTCGTCCTTATGACACGCAATTTATCATTGCACAATTAAGTTCAACAACAAAAAAAATCAATTTAATCTTTGGTAGTGGCATACAATAAACTGAACTGCACTATAACATTTCAGTCTCAAATGCTCAGAAATTGATTTTAAAATTATTCTTTCGTTTTATAATATTCGTATGTATCATGATAATCAGAAATCTGGCATTAGAAGACGACATTTTAGACTCAAGCAGAATAAGTGATTTAATAAGTTACTAATTATTTTTTTTTTGCTTTATAACGACATTAATTATACACTAAAATGTTGTCTTTCTGTATACCATAGTTTTCTGGTTCTCACTGTAGCAAAATATTTAATTTTGATTAAACGAACCTTCCAATATTCACCAAAAAAGTTTCCATTATAATGTTCATCTAATGTGAACATTTGAAAAATTTATCATATTAAATTGTTAAATAGTAACTTAACCACAGTTAAAATTATTTATTTTAGATGGAAAAGCAATGTCGTTGCACCCAATTCTGCAAATATTTAATTGCTTCCTTGTTCGCAATTTTAGCGCAATTCCGCGCAATGAAATGTCGCAAGCGGAAGCAATCATTGCGCGCAACGGAATTCCGATTGGTACATTTTATTCATAAAATATGAATTGAAACCCCGTATATCTTGTCTAAACATGATGGCCATTGTGGCTAAATCTTTAAGTAAAATAAGCTCTAATAATATGTAAAACTGTAACCCGGCAAAAGTAACTGAGCACTGGCCAGAAATTCTAATTTACCAATGTCATAAACATTTGATATTTCAAACCTTAAAATCTGTCAGATGAAATCCTTTAAGTTTGAAATATCAAATGCACAATCAGATTGTAAAGATATATAAATTGAAGGAAATGAAGAATTGGTTTTTGCTCTACATTTGTTAAGTCTCTCCTGGTCCAGACACATGGATATTGTATTAGATAAATTTAGGCTAATCTAATCTGAAATTGAGAGAGGTTTATAATTTAATTTGGTTCAGCTTACGATATGTCACAAGATGTACCAGTCAAAGATTAAAAATGTGAAAGAAATTATTGTTAAAAATGTTAGACAATCCTTAATCAAAAAAGAAACGAAAAGTTTTGGAACAAAAAACGATACATTCGATGTCCTCAATAACAAGCGGTTTTTACAAACATAAAGCGTGCCCATGATCCTACAATTACAAATAGGGTTTGAATTACGTGGTGGATTGCTTTACAAAGAAAAAAGTCCTTGAAAAAAGTCGAATTTGCTGTTTCTTATATTTTTTGTGCAACCTAATGTTGTAAACCTAATGGTGTAAACCTTTGATATTTCAAACTTTGATTATTTGATCTATCAGAATACAAATACAAATAAGGTATATGTCATTGGATTGCAAAGATAAAGGGATTAGAAAATCATAGTGTGTCACACACGCACCCCTGACCCTTTCGTTAAAGTAAATTTAATCTAAAGTCTGACCGCGGATGCACCGGCTAGCCTTATTGAGTGTCTGCTTTATTTACCCAATGTCCGGCTATATAGTACAAACTGCGACCAGAAAGGGTGACCCGGCTCGAAAAATCAAATGTTCTACGGCTGTCTGTGCGCAAAGACTCAGTTCTACTGTTCTAATGTAACGTATATAAGTACTGTTGCAGAAATTATAGTTTTATCAAAGATGAAAATAAAACTGTAAACAAAGGTTAAAACTTTTATGGACAAAGTTCGTAATCGAAAGGCTGGGCTCGTTTATCAATCTCTTTTATATTTCAAATCACCCTCCATTGATAAATGACAATGCTGGATTCACAACGGTAACATTAAAAGGTTTGTCAGAACAAGTATAGTGGTTTCTCTACAAAACTGGATTGCGCATTTTTTTTCTGCAGAAAAACATGTAGGAATTATCAGAGTTAAAAAAACCCCAATAAACATCATCTCCACATTATTGATCATATAAAGGTTTCAAAGGTGGAGTAGATACATAACGCCGATTACCAAAACCGAAGTTTTGTAGCAGTCGACATTTTTTTGTAGTCAACGTTTTGTACTATCGGCGTTTTCTTTTTAGACGTTTTGATAATTGACGTTTAGATAATAGACGTTTTGATTATCGACGTTTTGTACCCCCCCCCCCCCATCATTATGAAACATTAAATTGATGGTTCCTTGAAATTACGCTTATAGGCCCTTTTAACTCTCTTACATTAGCCCCGTTACAATCTCCCAGGGTAAAATATTTGCACCAAGGATGCAGGTCTTTCTCACTAATATTCAAATATTCAATTCTTACTTAGAACTATGTTGATATTATAAAAATAACATATTGAACGAACTGTAAGCGTGATTACAAGTGATCCTCCATTCAAGTATGACAATGCGCGATTTATAACTGTAACTTTAAAAACTTCGTCTGAAAAACTAGATATTCGCGTTTTTGTTATTTTAAACTGTTTATTTTTATTTGCAGGTTCTTTGCAAAAGTGACTTGCGCATTTTTCTTTTTTTAAAAGCAATAGAGAAATCTTCCACAGTGGAATCCACATTTTTTGATCAGATTAAAGTTACAATGTGAAGGATGCAGCCGTTGTAAATCATTCATTGCCATCTTTGCATGAAGAGTCACATGAAATAACGCTTACAGCCAATTTAACTATATATGAAGTATGTACCGACCTGGTCAAGTGAGGAAGCGGGATAATTTCAGATTGAGGCGTGTTTTTTTTAACTTTTAATTAATGTCTAGATCTTGTTTGGTTCAAATATGTTCCAACCGTAGCGAGAGAGGGGGGGGAATAATTAACTTAAGGGGAGTGTTCGCGAAAAATGAAAGGGGGTATAGGCTCAAGGCGATAAAAAAGCGCTTTTGATCGCTACTAATCTTACTTCTATCTGTTGCGTCTATAAGGAGAAAATTGTTAAAGACGTCTCATACCGAATAACATGGCGTCCATACAAATTGAGAAAATTGCAACATACGACTTAGACCGTAAAAAAATCAATTTAATTTCAAACAAATCATTCAGATATTGTAACTTATAGTCATCAATTATCTTTCGCCACATTTATATATAGTTGATTTTTCATAATATGTTTTAATTGTTATGATCTGAGGAATGTTCGAAAACAAGTTGTAAGCTAAATATTATTTTAAAAAACAAAATCAAAACTAGTATGAAATATTAAATACATACAAATGTGGCGAAAGATAATCGATGACTGTAGGTTGTAATATCTGAATGATTTGTTTGAAATTAAATTGATTTTTTACGTCGTACAGTCGTATGTTGCAATTTTCTCAATTTGTATGGGCGCTACGCTCTTCGGTATGAGATGTCTTTAACAATTTTCTCCTTATAGACGCAACAGATAGAAGTAGGATTAGTAGCGATCAAAAGCGCTTTTTTATTGCATTAAGCCTATACCCCCTTTCATTTTTCGCGAACACTCCCTTTAAAAGATCGATACATAACGAGATAAGTATAACAATACGGATAATAAAGTGGTCAGCTGGGACCATAAATGGGTCAGCCGGGACAATAAAGAGGTCAGCCGGGTCAATAAATTGGTCAGCCGGGAACATAAAGTGGTCAGCCGGGACAATAAAGGTGGGTTGGAAAAATTAAAAGTGATTATATAAGTCGGGATAATAGTTGCTAGGAATTTAAAAAGTTAATTTTGTTGTTGAATATTTGTTTCCTGGAATCCACGATAGTTCCAATACAAAGAACAATTCCAATAATCAGCCTGGACATCATGACTCTATAGATATATTCCTATCTCTAAGGTTGCAATTAACTAACTGTTTCAGTTATTCGATCCATCATCAACATAATCAACAATGCCTTATCTATCCCCGACAAGATCATTAAAATGTACATACAGTAAGAACTTTTTTAGTCAAGGAGAATTATGAAAATTTAAATATTTGGGAAAAAATGGTTCTTTTATTTAAAATTATATAGGATGTAAAGTACATGTGATAGTAAATCGACGATTAGAGGTCGTCGCCGAAGTAATTTATGGTATTCATTAATCAATTCAATTTTAAAAGTTCTCGAATCTCGGAATAATTACAAAATACTTAAATTCTGCCTTTTCAAAATTACCGGAAATATATGAATCATTGATTTGGTGATTTAGGCCATTTTAGTTTTATTTAATTAATTGAATTTTAAACATAATTCTTAATATATCTATTATTTGTGAAAGCACAAAAACAGACGATTTTAGAAATGTCAGGAATTTTTTTTATATATGTTTCATAAATCATACCTGTAATAGATCGTTGGCGACTTAATGCTGCAAGTTATTTCAGAAATCAAAGACGATCGTCAAGCAGTCTCTTAACTTTCGTATGAAGCACTTTTGTAGATCCGTGTTTAATGAGCAAGTTCTAAAAATGATGTCATTGTTTATTAAGATAAGAAGAACATTTTTTCTGTCGCGGTAGATATGAAAAGAACCGCTCAAATTATCAAAGTTTACTTTAGCGTTCATGCAAAAATAAAATTAAATGTATCAAAAAATCTTATGATATCATCATTTATATGATGTCTTTTTCAAGACTAAATGCATTATTTTTGAAAAAATACGATTTTTGACTGAAATGAATCGATAAAGATAGTTTTACCTAATATTTTTTTTTTTAACCGACAACGTCAAAACTACTGAACTCATCGGGCCCAAATTTGTTTGGGACCTCACATCACCCCAGGGAAGGTTGTTCATGGATGCTCTCACAAATTTAGATTTTTGTAAAATTTTGAACATCCGCGAAAAAAAATGTAAATCCGCAAGATTTTGTATTGTTGTTTTATCGAAGAGAAAATGCTTAAAGATTAAACAACTAGAATAGTATACGCGCCCTAATAGCATATAGTAAAGATATAAAAGCTTGAAATGAAAACTAAACTAAATGAGCTGTTGACATGTCTTCTCATTCTGTTCTATTAACACTGCAGGGTTTAAACAATATAAAACCTTTAAGTAAACACTCTTTATATTAGGCATAATATTTAGTATGTAAACCTAGAGATGGAAACTAATAATATTTAGTATGTAAACCTAGAGGTGGAAACTAATAATATTTAGTATGTAAACCTAGAGGTGAAAACTAATAATGAGTAAAATAAAATATTCTTGGTCAATTTTCCTTTCTGGAAAATAATTATCTTAAATCTATTCATACTTTATCAAACAATGTATTTGTAGATATGAAAAAATTTGAAATTGAACAACTTGATATCAAACCTTTCATACCTTTTACCGATAATCGAGTGTTAAGAACTTTGTGTGTATATCTCTGAAATGGTGTTTAAATTAAAATGCAATTGGAGGATACGCTAGCGCACAGTGTGAACGCAACTTATATTATACTTATATACTTTTATATTATTGTTTAAAAAATCTAAAACCGGGTATTCTTTTTATTCGTGTTTAGAAAATGAAAACCGGATATTACTTGTATTATTGCTTAGAAAATGAAGAACCGGATATTACTGGTGTTACTGTACCTGCCCGGACTCCTGCTCACCTCCCCCTGCTCCTTCAACAAGCTGTGCTCCTGCACCCCATACTCTAACCAGGTAAAGGACCCTGCAAACTCCAGTTTATTTAAAATACCACACTGACTGAGGAAAATTGCTGGACATTTTAGAATAGGCAACCCTAAATCCCGATGAGGTAAGTTGAATATCCAATGTGGACACTTTTAATTTCCTGCTTAATGAGCTCTTTTTCTCTCTTTTTGGATATTCCTATCAGATTCCGACCAATGAGAGTTCTCTTATTAAAAAAGCGTGGAAAATTATAAATTTTCCGGCTTCTGATTGGGTGTTCAGGATTCTGCATATGCCATTCTACTGCTTGAAATCTATATATTTTTTGGGATATAAACTAAACATTATTTTAATCTTAAGATTAATAAAAAGAGGAGATCAAGCATTGATCTCAATATCCACAATTCTAAAGTTTTCAGCTCAGAACACATAAAGTGAGAATCAGAAATTTTGGAAAAAGATGACGACATTATAACAATATGTGAATTTGATGTTGTTACAAATCAAATAGTTTAACTAGAAAGTTTTAAATCACTTACTAAGTAAAATGGGTCTGTTTACATTACACACAATTGCTGTGTGTCATTTGCTGGACTAAGGAACAGAAAAGGAAAAATGAAACGTATTACGTTACAAGAACTCCCGCCAATGAGAGTGCAGTTTACTGGTCACGTATAAAGGAATTGAGTCTTTGCCGCAGACTCAAATTTGCTAATACCTATATCTCTACAAACAGATAATGTAAACATTTAATATTTCAAACTTAGATTATTTGATCCATCAGAATTCATGGTTTGAAATAACTAAGGTCTACGACATTGGGTTGTGAATATATAGGGATTAATAATTTAGAGTTTGTGACAAAGACTCAATTCCTTTGACACAGTTTTATATCAATTTCTCTCGACAGGAACATCAGATATTTCTTTTGTGGGTCGTAATCAAGAACTAAAGGGATTAGCTTTCAGCCTTTACCCCCATTCATTATTCCTTTACAGTCCCTTTAAAGTCGTCTTCACTTTCTATTCCAGAATTTTCTGGTCATCACTGCTGTTCAAATTATATTGACTATAGAGTGACAGACTGCCAAACATTATTAAAAATAAGTTTAACTTTCGGTTAGGATATCATCCATTTAACTTTTTTTTTGTACAAAAAAGTATGATTTTTCTCATAATTTTTTTAGTATCATATTCTAAACTTTATTTGTAAAGAAACAAAGTAATTTACCCTGTCCTTTTCTTTTTATCTTCTCTTATGTTTATTGTGTGTCTTTATTAATTTCATAAAAACAAACAAGAATTTTAAATTTGATGGTTAAGGGTTATGTTTGAAGCTAAAACTATTCAATTCAAGAATTATCTTGACTATTAATTTTTTTCTAAAATTTCTTGAAATCCATGAGAATAACAATGAAAAAAATCTATTTTTATTTAAATGATTCTCACCGTCGGCTGGTAAAAGCAAATTGACAAAGAGAAATTCGAAAAAAACGAACATATCGCCGTATCGATAGAATATGAGAACATATGATTATGTATTTGTAACGAAATTTTAGATCATGAGCTCATTAATATTCAGATAAATGGTTAAAGGACATCAACGATGTTATTTCCTGATTTAAAAAAATAATGATTGGAAGTTGTAACAGTAAAAAATGCTTCAGAAGAAAGATTAGCTGTTTAAGTGCCCACAATATTTCTGCAAAACTAGCTGAAGAGCCATGGAATATTTTTTTATTAGATTTTTTAAAAATGTAGAATTTTGAAGAAAAAAAAGTTCCGAATTTGTCTATCTATTTTACCCCTTGAGTACACACAGGTTTTCTAAAACAAAAAATTAGACACTTTTATCTAGCTGTTTGGCTAGCAATAACTAACATATATATAAGCGAAGTGCTTTATTATATAGATATGATAATATATAGATATGATAATATGATTATATAGATAAGTTTCCCCCCCCCCCCCCCGTCTTAATTGTGCAAATAGGAAATATTAATGTTGTCCCTCATGTACTTTATTATAATCTCATCAATGAATGCTTATCTGATAAATCTTGAGATAAGCATATTCTTGACAGCTAACAGATTTTGTCTCAGGATTACCTACGAAAAATAAGACTTCAGAGACGAATGTACGGAATTTTGCCTTGTTGTTTCTCATGTATTTATGATTCTCTTAGATTTAAAGTTTGTTTCTTTTTTAGACATGTTCAAGAAAGAAACTTAATTTAATCTTAAAATTTTCCAATTTTAAAAGTTTTATGTTTGTCTTTACAGTCTTATCCTTTGTGAGTAACCCTGAATGTAGTTATTAAATGTATAAAAAGGGCTTGGTTCAAAGTTTTATCAAGGAATGCCGTTTTAAAAAGATTATAGTTTTTCCCCAACTTTTACCAATCCAGTTTATGTATCTTAGAAAACTTTGGGTAAATCTAAGAATACTTTGAGCGATCCTCAGAAAACTTTGAACGAATCACATAAAGCATAAAGCGATTCTCAGAAAACGTTGGGCGATTCTCAGAAAACTTTGAACGAATCTCAGAAAACTTTGAACGAATCTCAGAAAACTTTGAACAGATCTCAGAAAACTTTGAACAAATCTCTGAAAACTTTTAACGAATCTCAGAAAACTTTAAACAAATCTCAGAAAACTTTGAACAAATCTCTGAAAACTTTTAACGAATCTCAGAAAACTTTAAACAAATCTCAGAAAACTTTGGGCGAATTTCAGAAAACTTCAGAATTAGAATCAGAAAATGGAAGGGAATCTTAAATTTAGAAAAAAATCCACCGTTAAATTTTTCTAGAAATGGGAACGTTTGTGTTAGTCTTGATATCCACAGTGAGCATTTTTAAATTCTACGCAGAATCTTCTTGATTTTGAATATACGCAATTTTTCTGTTCTTTCATTTGTTGAACTCAAAATTCCCTAATTGGCTGTGTGTTTCCGAAGACGACACTCTGATTGGTTCAATTTTAGGCACTTTATGTGCCAAAAATCGAATATACGTTAATTTGAGAGAAAGATCGAGATCAATGCTTGATTTCGATATTCACGATTCAAGAATACTCAGCTTAAGATAAATAAAATGTTTTGCCAAAATAAATGTTATTGATTTCAATTTATTTGTTCAGATTGTAAATGGTTCAAGGAGTACTAGGATCAAGGATGTTAGTTGTATAGGAGTTCCTTTTCCTACAGTTCCAGGTAATAATCTAGAAATAATACAATGATACCTTCTCTACAGTTCTAGCTAATAATCATCTATAGTATATATTTATGACACCCTACATAAAGTATATATTTATGACACCCTACAGAAAAGTATATATTTATGACACCCTAGAGAAAAGTAAGTATATTTTTATGACACCCTACATAAAAGTATATATTTATGACACCCTACAGAAAAGTATATATTTATGACACCCTACATAAAGCATATATTTATGGCACCCTAACTAGTATATATTTGTGACACCCTACAGAAAAGTATATATTTATGACACCCTACAAAAAAGTATATATTTATGACACCCTACATAAAGTATATGTTTATGACACCCTACAGAAAAGTATATATTTATGACACCCTACATAAAGTATATATTTATGACACCCTACATAAAGTATATATTTATGACACCCTACAGAAAAGTATATATTTATGACACCTTACATAAAGTATATCTTTATGACACCCTACATAAAGTATATCTTTATGACACCCTACAGAATAGTATATATTTATGAGACCCTACATAAAGTCTACATTTATGACACCCTTTACAAAGTATATATTTATGACACCCTACATAAAGTATATATTTATGACATCCTACATGAAGTATATATTTATGACACCCTACATAAAGTATATATTTATGGCACCCTGTGAACACTGTATTTCAGCACGCAAGACTGCAATCTATAAAGTGAAAGCTATAAACCAAGAAACATTGACAGTTGGGGAATGATTATCTTGCATTTACTTTTTCATATCAGATAACTGTCCTCATATCTTTGAACCGGATATCCTAGACCTATGATATCATAGGAGGAGAAATAAAATATTTACATTTAATACCATGTATCAGGGATAATAAAATTAGAGTGGCGGGTGGACAGTCCCTTTGCAGGATTGGTTTAGTAACTTTATTAATTTTGTTATTCCAAGAAATTTTCTTTTTCCATGCATAAATACGATTAGGGTTTATTAGAAAGTTAATCATTGCTCATTTATCATTCAAATTAGTACTAAGAACGGTTTTATCACCATTTACTACTTTTGATTTTGGTAATTAGCCTTTTCAAACAAACAAAATTATTATTTGAATTTTCAGAAAAAGCATCCTCCTCACTTTATACTTGAAAAAAAAAATAGTTTTGATTTTATGCTTACTTTAGATTGAAAAATATTGCTTTACAAACCTTGTATTTCGAAATAAACATTGCAAAAAAATCAAAGTAGTCGCAGACACATTAATTTAATTAAAAGTTCAATCCAAAATTCCAAATGTCTGCAGAATGCGCAATATTTATTTGGTAAATTTTCTAAGATATCGAAAAATATCTGAAATTTTAAAAATTCAAATATCTATCTATCCTGCGTTTTGTATACTTTGTACATAATGGTTTAAAGATCAATCTATCTACTGGATTTAAAAAGGTTTGAGAAAATTGTGAGAAATGTTTTCATGAAAATTGAAAGAAATCCATTTTGTTATTTAAAAAGGTTTTCATAGCTTCAAAACAATATTGAAAATATATTCTTTAATATTCATCTGAGCATGGAAAAGGGAAAAGAAAGAATGGAAAAGGGAAAAGAAAGAATGGAAAGGGAAGGGAAAGAATGGAAAGGGGGAAGGGAATGAATGGAAAGGGGAAGGGAAAGAATGGAAAGGGGGAAAAGATAAGAATGGAATGGGGAAAGGGAAAGAATGGAAAGGGAAAGCATCGAAAGGGAGAGGGAAAGAATGGAAAGGGGAAAGGAACTACTGGAAATGGAAAATGAAAGAATGGAAAGGGGGAAAAGGAAAGAATGAAGAGGGGAAGAATGGAAAGGGGTGAGGGGAAGAATGGAAAGGGGGTGAGGGGAAGAATGGAAAGGGATGAGGGGAAGAATGGAGAGGGTGGAGGGAAAGAATGGAAAGGGGGAAGGAAAAGAATGGAAAGGGGGAAGGGAAAGAATGGAAAGGGTGGACGGAAAAGAATGGAAAAGGGGGAAGGAAAAGAATGGAAAAGGGGAGGCGAAATAATGAAAAAAGGGGAGGGGGAAGAATGGAAAGGGGGAAGGGAAAGAATGGAAAGGGGGAAGGAAAATAATGAAAAAAGGGGAGGGGGAAGAATGGAAAAGGGGAGGGGGAAGAATGAAGTGGAAAACTTAAAGGTCAGCTGAATAATAAAGTTGTTTAATAAAATATAATAATACCTCACTCAACCTAAACTAATTAAGACAATTTTATATTTATTACAAGGGAAGGGGGAGGGGAAAATTCCTAAGTATAGCCTTGGGGATATATTCCCTTGTTCCATTCGAATGTGAAATGGGGGGGGGGTAAATTTTTCGATAACCATATGTTATTATTCTGGAAAATGTATTATGGTAAATTATACATTTCATTGTCATAGAAAGATTACAGTATGAATGACTGGGCAAGCTTTTCTTAATTTTCTAAACCTGTTTGCGGACACAGAGATTTCAACGCAATTTTCAAACATTGTTGCATGCAAATCTATATTAGCGTTATAAATATTTTTTTTTGCATTCTTTCTTCGTTTCAAAATGGTGCGCCTTTAACATTTCATTTATCGTGCAAGGTGGTCAAACAAAATGTTGCGCGATCTGTGGAAAATCTGTTTTGCAAGAAAGTGCAATTGGCGCTTTTGCACGGAAAGCGCAGATCTGCACTTAAATTTGTGTTAACCTCAGAATTGCAAAAAATGCGAAAATTGGTGTTTCATAATATAATTTAATGTTTTAAGAAGTATATATTATAAAAGATGTAGGTGGGTGAAAAAAATTGAAATGAACTGAAAAGATTTTTTCTCATTTTTAAAATGTTTAACCAAAAGTTCAGATATTTTCCCTCTTAAAACCATTTTTCCTCACATTCTGTTTTTAAAATCCCTAAAAGTATCATATATAAAGGGAAAAAGAATATGTTAAAACTGAAAAATCATTTTTTAAATTTTCCTGTAAATTAATATGTTAAATTGCTCCATTTATGAGTATGATTTTTACAGATTTTGATTTTTCACTAATGATAAAAATATTTTTTTTTTATTTGGAGAGAAATTTTTCATTTCTTTGCCTTTACACATGCCTTTACACATGCCTTTTCACATACCTTTAGTTGAGAATTTTAATAACATTCTTACAAGAAGCAATCTTTTTAACAGTAAATATTTTGATGATTACATTATCTGATTTGAGATCTGAAATGAGTCTATTTTATTTTGAAAAGTTGAAAGTTTAATTTAATTTATTTAGAGCTGAGTTTGGAGGGAGTAACACATCTGGACTTGGTAGAAGCTGGACTGGAGATAATACAAGATCAAGATTTCAGGAAAATTATTCATTTTTATAATTTTTAATAAAGTTGATGGGCTTATGAAGAAAATTTAGAAACTAAAAATGTGCTTATCAAAGCAATATGCTTTAATGCATTCCAATAAAATATAAAAAAATGTTACGACTGTAAACAATAGATAAAATGATCATGGAACAGCCCGGATTTCTTGTCGTCTTCCAAATACACAGTATTTTGTCAAGCATTGGGAATAAAAAACAAATTGAAAAACTCTAAAACCAATACAATAGATTATAAACCGACTTTAGAGTGGCAAAGGTAAAAACAGTAAAAATCTTCTGATTTATAGATTTCTATTTCCAATAGTTCAAAATAGAATAACTTTTAAAGCTCTTCAGTTATTACGAAAAAGATAATAAATTCACAATTTTACTTCTTATATTGCGTAGTTTTAGGAAATTCACTTGAAGGCCCGCATAAAAGCTTTCTTTTGATATTAGTATGGGAGAAGTGTCCAAAAAATATGACTTGTTGCCCAGGTTAATATTATTATTTATGTATATCCTATTGTTTCCCACGCTTGGTATAAATCATGATGTTTGCTTAAGTATTCGGCGTTGCCTATGAAATTTCAATTTTTTTTCACTCCCTGGGCGCCCATGGATTCCCTCAAAAAATGTAAGTCAATTTGGTCCAGCCGTTTGGCAAGCTATAGCTAACATTTAGATATATATATAACCAAGCGAAGAGCTTCATTATACAATAAAAAACTCAATGCATATTTTGAAAAACAGTGGGTCTTTGGAGTCTCTGAGATTAATGAATAACAAAATTACTGTCATTGAAGATTCAGTTTTCAGGTATCCATCATTTTGTTGGATCATTGTCTAGTAAACCTTCATGTTGGATTTAAACCTATATTTGTAGTGGAGTATTCAGTAGTTTGAGATCTCTAGACCTCAGCTATAGTCTAGTAAACCTTCATGTTGTATTTAAACCTATATGTGTAGTGGAGTATTCAGTAGTTTGAGATCTCTAGACCTCAGCTATAGTCTAGTAAACCTTCGTGTTAGATTTAAACCTATATTTGTAGTGGAGTATTCAGTAGTTTGAGATCTCTAGACCTCAGCTATAGTCTAGTAAACCTTCGTGTTAGATTTAAACCTATATTTGTAGTGGAGTATCCAGTAGTTTGAGATCTCTAGACCTCAGCTATAACAGTCTGGTAAACCTGCCAGTTGGAGCCCTGAGTAGGATTAAAACCCTGGACTGGTTTAACCTACATGGGTAAGTGAATATTTAAAACTGCACATTTTGTTGATTCCTAGAAGAAAATAGTAGTACCCAGGGTAATTTACAGCCTCCCTCCGGCGGAATAATTAGTGTCCTGAGTGGTCATCAACATCCCTCCGGTGAAGTAATTAGTTTCCTGAGTGTTAATTACCATCCCTCCAGTGGAGTCATTAGTTTCCTGAGCATTAATTACCTTCCCTCCGGTGGAGTAATTAGTTTCCTTAGTGTTAATTACAATCCCTCCAGTGGAGTCATTAGTTTCCTGAGCGTTAATTACCTTCCCTCCGGTGGAGTATTTAGTTTCCTGCGTGTTAATTCCCATTTCTCTGGTGGAGTAATTAGTTTCCTGAGCGTTAATTACCATCCCTCCAGTGGAGTAATTAGTTTCCTAAGCGTTAATTACCATCCCTCCGGTGGAGTTATTAGTTTCCTGAGTGTTAATTGCCATCCCTCCAGTGGAGTAATAAGTTTCCTGAGTGTTAATTACCATCTCTCCGGTGGAGTAATTAGTTTCTTGAGTGTTAATTACCATCCCTCCGGTGGAGTAATTAGTTTCTTGAGTGTTAATTACCTTCCCTCGCGTGGAGTAATTAGTTTCCTGAGTTTTAATTACCATCCTTCTAGTGGAATAATTAGTTTCCGGAGTGTTAATTACCACCCCTCCGGTGGAGTAATTAGTTTCTTGAGTGTTAATTACCATCTCTCCGGTGGAGTAATTCGTTTCTTGAGTGTTCATTACCTTCCCTCCGGTGGAATCTGCATTCCCTCCGGTGGAATCTGTATTCCCTCTGGTGGAATCGGTATTCCCTCCGGTGGAATCTGTATTCCCTCCGGTGGAATCTGTATTCCCTCCGGTGGCCGAGGGAATGACAAATGCTACTATTTTATTCCATAACTCCATTTTGTTAGAAAATCTAAATCATGTATTTTGTCTTATTGTGACAAATTATTTTTTATGTAAACTTTTGTATTCACTTAATTTGGGAAATGACAATAATATAATGCTGCAAAATTATTGATTCTTTGTCACAAACTCTGATTTTTGAATACCCATATCTTTGCAACCTGAGGGCGTAATACTATTGTAAACTAGTAATTCTGTTGATAAAATAAGTTTGAAATATCATAGACTTTAGACCACCGGGTTGCAAAGTTATTGGAATTAGAAAGTTTGAGGGAAAAAATCAATTTCTTTGGCTTATTGTATGAACATTCGAGAAGGCATACGCGACCCCGAAGATGGTTTATGGCCGCTTTTAGTTTAAAATTTATTCTGGAAATCTCGGTTTAACGTACCATTAAACTTTAAAATGTTATTGTATGTTAATGTAAAAAGCTATAGAAAAACAAAACAATTATAAACCATTAAAAGGGACCAAAAACTTTAGAAAACTTATTATACTAGCTTGAGACACAAGCTTTTTTGGAAGCAAAGTTTTCCCAATATAGAAGTCAACCTACTTAATTTAGAATATCTAAACATAGCTTTATCACATTCCCGAGGTTTTATCGAGTTCCCCATTTAGCATTTGAGGCAAATCAGTCAAGGGATTCATGAGTTATGATCGTCATACAAACAAACAGACAACTGAAATCACAAATATATTTAAATTAAAATGTGAAGTTTAAAAAATGAATGTCAATGAATAAAGTGTAAATAGAAAAAACATGAGATGTCTTTATTAAAAATCCCAGTGCTATCTTAAACTGTCCACAAATATAGATATTTTTTTATTAGAAGTAAAAATATTAGATTTCAAAACTGATTCTGAACAATACAAGTTTTCTTATAATTAATTGTCAAAGTTGAAGGGACTGTAATCTTAATTTCAAATTACCCTTCATGAAACCTTTCTCTGATCAATAATGAGGAAAATATTGTCGTTTTTTTAGCTTTAAAGTGTTTAATTCTGATAATTCATAAATTTTGTTATACAGTAGAACTGCACGAGTCACTTTTGTAGAGAAACCATAATTGAAAATAATGGGGTTTTAAAACCATAAACACTCCATAAGTTCTTAATTAGCCATTGCTTTCAAGGAAATCAAGGAGTTCAAGGGTTCCACTGGAGACTACCCATACAGTCCCTTTACTTGCGAAATATGTCAAATTGTTTCTGACGGAAAATAAATCTTTGTTTCTGACGGAAAATATATCTTTGTTTCTGACGGAAAATATGTCTTTGTTTCTGACGGAAAATATCTCTTTGTTTCTGACGGAAAATATGTCTTTGTTTCTGACGGAAAATATATCTTTGTTTCTGACGGAAAATATGTCTTTGTTACTGACGGAAAATATCTCTTTGTTTCTGACTGAACATATATCTTTGTTTCTGACGGAAAATTTATCTTTGTTTCTGACGGAAAATATGTCTTTGTTTCTGACGGAAAATATTTCTTTGTTTCTGACGGAAAATATTTCTGTGTTTCTAACGGAAAATATGGCTTTATTTCTGACGGAAAATATGTCTTTGTTTCTGATGGAAAATATATCTTTGTTTCTGACGGAAAATATGTCTTTGTTTCTGACGGAAAATACGTCGTTGTTTCTGACGGAAAATGTGTCTTTGTTTCTTACGGAAAAAATGTCTTTGTTTCTTACGGAAAAAATGTCTTTGTTTCTTACGGAAAAAATGTCTTTGTTTCTTACGGAAAAAATGTCTTTGTTTCTGACGGAAAATATGTCTTTGTTTCTGACGGAAAATATGACGTTGTTTCTGACAGAAAATATGTCTTTGTTTCTGACGGAAAATATTTCTTTGTTTCTGACGGAAAATATTTCATTGTTTCTGACGGAAAATATGTTTTTGTTTCTGACGGAAAATACGTCGTTGTTTCTGACGGAAAATGTGTCTTTGTTTCTGACGGAAAATGAGTCTTTGTTTCTGACGGAAAATACTTCTTTGTTTCTGACGGAAAATATGTCTTTGTTTCTGACGGAAAATATCTCTTCATTTCTGACGGAAAATAGGTCTTTGTTTCTGACGGAAAATATGCCTTTGTTTCTGACGAAAAATATCTCTTTGTTTCTGACGGAAAATATGTCTTCATTTCTGACGGAAAATATGTCTTTGTTTCTGACGGAAAATATGTCTTTGTTTCTGACGGAAAATATGTCTTTGTTTCTGACGGAAAATATTTCTTTGTTTCTGACGGAAAATATTTATTTGTTTCTGATGGAAAATATGTCTTCATTTCTGACGGAAAATATGTCTTTGTTTCTGACGGAAAATATGTCTTTGTTTCTGACGGAAAATATCTCTTTTTTTCTGACGGAAAATGTGTCTTTGTTTCTGACGAAAAATGTCTTTTTATTTCTGACGGAAAATATCTCTTTATTTCTGACGGAAAATATCTCTTTGTTTCTGACGGAAAATACGTCGTTGTTTCTGACGGAAAATGTGTCTTTATTTCTGACGGAAAATATGCCTTTGTTTCTGACGAAAAATATGTCTTTGTTTATAACGGAAATTATCTCTTTATTTCTGACGGAAAATATGTCTTTGTATCTGACGGAAAATATGTCTTTGTATCTGACGGAAAATATGTCTTTGTTTCTGACGGAAAATATGGCTTTGTTTCTGAGGGAAAATATGTCTTTATTTCTGACGAAAAATATGGCTTTGTTTCTGACGGAAAATATGCCCGAAAAATGAAAATACAAAATATTGTTTTCATCTCCATAAACTCACAAACATAATATCATCAAACAGAAAATGATGAATAAACACAAAGTAGATTTGTCAAACAAATATTTCACATTTTGTCAAACATAATTTTATGGGCTAAATATTTCATATTTCAGTCAAACATAATTTTATGGGCTAAATATTTCATATTTCAGTCAAACATAATTTTATGGGCTAAATATTTCATTTTCAGTCAAACATAAGTTTGCGGGCTAACAACAATTCATTTTGTGCATTCTTTAGCAGAGATCATAAACTAAAGATAATTTGTGCAAAAAGTTGCAAATAATAATTGTATGATTTTCAAATTATTGCAGCCCCTGTTGTCATTGATCACCCTGCAGCTGCACCTCTTTGTAATTATTAGAATCAAGATCTTTAGTCATTCTTTAATTCTTGTGACTTAAGATCTTGATTGAAGTCCCCGAAAACTCTACAAGAATATGTGTTGTTTCTTAGCATTCCCTTGGGACAATTAAGTTTCAAGTAGGGTTGTTAATCATTTAAAAACAATCTAAAAAAATTAGTTTTTCTTTTTATGTATTATGTATATTAATATGTATTTTTCGTTTAAATCTTAAAACGATCGTATCGTTTTTAGAAAAAAAAGATTGGTCACAACGAACCAACCATTCGTTTAGAACTTTTGAAAAAACGAAAAACGATTAAATGAGATTATGCATTCTAAAGTTATTGAGCTGAATGTAGAATCCTATTTTCTAAACGGTTGCCAAGTCCTATAAAGATAGTAGAGTAAATGGAAGGCTATAAAGTACCAATAAATATATATGTGAGCTGCTACTTACATTAACCACAACAAATACACTGGCAAATATTGGTTCTAGATGTTTGAAGAAATTATGTAAAGAAACGCAATCAACATGATATTTGTTTTAACCCTTTAAAGTGACCTCACATTTAGAGAAAAGCATGTCTGATTCACAACCGTATTCTTTACAGTTTTATCTCATCAATAATGTGGAAAAAAATGACGTTTTTCTAGCTTCAAAATTGCCGAATTCTTACAATTGCCTTCATTATTTCGAAAATAAATGAGTGTAGGTCATTTTATAAAAGAAAAAGATTGAAAATAATTATTGTTTAAAGTGAAGATTTTTAACATCATACATCGTTGTAAATCAATTATGCCACTTTATACGTCACAGGGTGCGGAAAGGTCATGTGTGTGTGTCTGTATCAAAAGAGTGTGTGTAAAGTTTACCGAACCGAAGGTGTGTACTGTAGGTATATACAGTACATACGAATCTCGGTATTTGTACAGTCTAGGAGAGTACATTTGTTTATTGTTAATTGTTTACTTAAAAATATGTTTAATATACATTTAGTAAATTATTTATATATTTAAGTCAATGCTATAAGCCAAATTTTCATGCAAAGAATATAATTTGATTAAAGTTTACAATAAACTAATCGTTATTCAAGCTTAATTATCATTGACAACATTGTTCTGCAATTTCCTTGACTGTAGTCATGTTGTGAGTCTGTACCATTGATCAACGTGTAGAAATCAAGTTAACTGAATTCAAATACAAATTTTAAAAGGGTGTATCTTATTTAGCATAAGTAATGCCGAGACTTGAAAGGTATATTTTAACCTTTCTATTCCGCCTAAACATTTTTTAAAGATCTATATAATAAAACAAGACATTCATGTTGCGTATAGACGGCCAAACGGCTGGACCGATTACGCTGAAATTTTTTGTGGACACTCACGGGTTATAGGCTAAAAAAATCGACATCTTTTTCAAAAAAAAATTTCCGATTACGCTGAAATTTTTTGTGGACACCCCCCGTGTTATAGGCTAAAAAAATCGACATCTTTTTCAAAAAAAAATTTCAACATAAATACAAGCAATACATTAATCAGAACCTAATTATAAACCAATCCGGGCTGTTTTAAAAGAACAACTCTGCACAAAAAATACAACAAATTTAAAGCAAAGAAAATGAGGCTAGAATAGGAAAGAAACGGAAAAAATAATGGCGTCCTTTTGATTTTTGTGAGTAATTTGCATGTCACAGAAAAAGATTGCAAGATTAATAAATATTAATCTTTGCAAATCATTTATTTACATAAAAAAAGTTCGATTTGAAGCAAGAAAATTCTTTAAAAAAGATGTGTCCAGTGTGTTTTTAAATAAATTTTTGTTATTGTATTAAAAGCAAATGAATCATTTAGTAAATATTCTTGAATCTAAATCAAGTTCCAACTTTAATTATATAAATTAGTTAAATGTGTTTGATAAAGAAGTATATTTAAAAGTTTGTAAGTTAAACCGGAAACTTGGTTGAAACTTAGAAACAAACTTGGTTTCACAATTATATTTAACTCCGGGGGTAAATTCTTCAACTAGTATCTGAATAGACAATATACATTATTCTAACAACATAACTTGGTTTCACAATTATATTTAACTCCGGGGGTAAATTCTTCAACTAGTATCTGAATAGACAATATACATTATTGTTACGGTTTTCTAACCAAGTACGTAACTTGCATGCGCTCAAGAATGAGAAATGCAAAGTTATTTAATGTCGTTATAGACCTTGGATATTTAAGACATTGAATTCGGTCATGTCAATTAATCTATGTTTAAAATACCAAATGTTGCAAAGTTATAACTTGATAAAAAATTTAAGTTTGTGACAAATATCCAATTCCATTATCTGGTTAGACATTAGAAATTCAAAAATATATGTTTTTATTCCTAGCTCTACAACAAGAGGAATTATAGTGAAAAAATATAAGATTCCGTTTGGCATGACACTGATAATTATCTTTTATAACTTACTGCAAGTGACTTATCAGAATCGCTGATAAACTAGTTTTATCGTATATTATCAGAATCGCTGATAAACTAGTTTTATCGTATATTATCAGAATCGCTGATAAACTAGTTTTATCGTATATTATCAGAATCGCTGAGAAACTAGTTTTATCGTATATTATCAGAATCGCTTAGAAACTAGTCTCGGATTTGACAAATTTTACGAAAATCAAAAATTGTGGAAGACAAATTTTGTAATTATGGGCATCCATAAACAATCCCTGGGGTCTTGTGAGGTGACACACAAAGTTTGGGCCTGATCGGTTCAACAGTTTTGCCGTTTATCGGTTACAAACAGGAATAAAATGGGAAAATATGTATTTTATTTCAGGAACCAGATTGGAAAACTTACTGATGCGTTCCAGCTACCGTTCCGTCATACCATCTCCACATTGTTCCTGGGAGAAAACCATCTCACCAGTATTCCAAACGATTTTTTCAGGTAAAAAAAGATGTTTGTTCATAGACGAAAAATACTAACAATCCACCACCAGATAAACTAAATGTAAAGTAAACAATAATTATGTAACTTTCCTTTTTCTTTTTTTAGAATAGGGGGGAAATATATAATGTAAGGTTCTTTGAAATTACGCTTAAAGTCCCTTTAATAATATTATTTTTAGTCATTTCAAGCGGTTGATGTGGTTGAACCTAGATAGTAATTATATCCGGGAGCTACCTGAATACGCTTTGCCCAGATCCATCCATACTCTTAGTATATCCAACAATCAACTCAGGAATAATAAGAAAAATATTTAATTTAAAAAATAATCAAGATTTGTAAACAAACCACAATTGAAAATAATCAGTTTTCAAAATTATAAGCATTAATATCTTAATTCCAACTTGATGAAATAAAGTTATTAAGTCCCTTTAAATGCACTTCTAGAGTTCTAGGACTTCAAGAGTTCTATCCTAATTAGAAATTACCTTGCAACTTTTCTTCTCTTCTTAGAATATATAATTCAACCCATCCAAACTTAAAAACTTATTCTGTACTCTTACACTGCATGCTCTTACACACCCCCTCCCCTCCGGGACCCCCCCGCCTTAACTCCTCCAAAATAGCACTTAATTCTACAGGTTTATCCTCAGAGGATATTAAAGACGACTGTACGGAGTTTATCCTGTACGTTTCCTAATTCCTTATTTTGTATTTGTTTAGTTTTTTGTCAAATCATGAAATAATTCATAACACGACAATATTCAAGTCAGTATATGCTATAGCTTATCCTGGGAATCGTCATATTAAGTTTTAGGTCGTCTTTACAGTCTCACTCTTTGTGGGTAACCCTGTATATCTGGACTTTTAAATGAGGTCAACTGTTCAACCTAGTGCAATTATACAGGGTGTCCCAATACACATGGAAATGACCACTTATAAATCGTCTTTGTTCCATGCGGGATTATTTCGTAAGCATAATTATTTAGTCTCACAGTTAAAAAACACTAGCTTCGGGATTTCCAAAACGTGGTTTGCCATTTTTTTGTCTTTAAAATTGACGGAATTACTAGGAAATTTGTCCAGATTCCAGTTTATTAAAACTCAACGAAACTGTTCAAATGTTAAATATCTCCGTCAATGTTTAAGAATGTAGACCTCATTAGAATTTCAATTTTTTGTTGATGAACTTTATGTCATTTATCAATTATGGGAAATCAAAGACGATAGTCAAGTATTCTCTCAATACCCGCATGTTTATAGTATCTAGTATCTGAATGAAATTACTGATTTTTCCCGAAATAGGAATTGAGTCTTTGCCACAAACTCAGATTTTCTGATCTCTGTTTCTTTGCAACCCAATGCAGTAACTATAGTATGAATTCTGTTAGATCATATAATTTAAGTTTGAAATATCAAAGGTTTACATGATCAGGTTGCAAAGATGTAGGGATCAGATCATTTGAGTTTTTGGCAAAGACTCAAATCTTTTCTATATCTTTAACCATAATTTGAGGTCAGACCATTTTATTGTTATAAATCTTTCAGAAAGAACTTATCTGTAGTTTAAGAAGTTTAACGGAAAGAATTTGATTTATTTAGATATCAGGAAAGGTCAAATCAATAAAGTAAACTTTAGAATGGTGGATATCAAGATTAATACTTAAATCTCTCTTTTTCTTAATATCGAGACTAACCTAATCTTGTACCTGTATCCTGAAAATTCAACCAATCAGAGTCGCGTATATGAAGCCGATAAATTTGAAATTTTGCTCGCCATTTAAGAATAATATACAGAAACTGGAGGAATTCTCTAATTTGATTTTTCTCCACTATATCCAAGAAAGAAAGGTTTAAGAAGAAAATCAAAAGTGCGTCCATTGGAAACTCTGATTAGGTAATCGGGATTAAGGATATCTCATTCTAAAGTTTTCAGCTCAGGAAAATTTTTAGTTAGCTGAGTTTATTATGAATTTATCATTTCACATTAAAAGTTGAATTTTAACACATTTGATAACTTTTTACTTGCTGGGACGATAGATTAATAAATGCGATAAAGTTGAAGAAAATGCGCCAATTATGGTTTTGTTTTAAAGTCCAAATAGTGAAGAATAATAGTTGTCTTTATTAATTAATCATAACGAAGGATTGTTGATTATTTATTTAAACAGTTAGTCCTCGAATCAAACTTTTATGACCAGAGTTCATTAAACTGTTCTCATACAGTGGTAAACAGAATACAATGAACATATAAACATATATTTTTTCTTTTTATTATAAAAGATTCTGTAATTCCTAAGTTATTTTTAATTAATTTTAAAAATAATTTCAGTTTTTGTCACAAACAAAAAATGTCGAATCCCTTCATCTTTGCAACCTAATGGTGAAAAACTTATTTATTTTAAACTTATATATATTCAAAATTTGAAAAATCTAAGGTCTACGACATTGGGTTGCAGAGATATAATAATTATAAAATAAGAAAATGTGGCAAAGACTGAATTCCTTTGCCCTCAACATTTAAAAAAATTATATCATACATATTAATAATTAAAGAAATTTACCAATTTTAAGTATAATTTGTATTAATAGCCAATTTTTTATTATTCTATTATTTTATTATTTCCCAAGAGAGTTCCCTGTACTTGCAATAGAGAACCTACCTGGGCTAACCTGGCTAACTATGAGAGGAAACTATATAGAGACTATACCGGATACACCTTTCTCATATAAAAAAAGGAATAGTAACCAGAGAAAATATATGTTCGTCATTTCGAATAAAATCTTCAGAATTTCGAACTAAATATTCGTAATTTTGAACAACATGTTTGTAACTATGAACAAAATGTTCGTAATTTTCAACAAAATGTTCGTAATTTTGAACAAAATGTTTCGAAAAAAGTTATCGTAATTCTGAAATTTTTTCGGTAAATTCTATTTTTCGAACGAAATGTTTGTAATTTTGAACAAAATGTTTGTAATTTCAAAAAAAAGATATGAATTGCTAACGAATGTTTGTCATTTCGGACAAATGTTTGTAATTTCGAACAGAATGTTCTTAATTTCGAAATAATTTCTGTAAGTTCTACATTTTGAAGAAAATGTTTGCAATTTCGATGAAAATGTTCGTAACCCTGGTTGATATTGTTCAGGATTGACAAACTAGATCTTGGAGAGAACTTTATATCTTCTCTTCCTCCATCCATGTTCAATGGAACCTTGGCTGTAACTGATCTAAACCTGGATTACAATTATATAGGAAACTTGCTTAATCTTACGTACAGTGGTCCCTAAAATAATGTAGCATCAAGTGGTCCCTAGTATAATGGTGTATGTATTTAAGTTGGTAAAGAGAAACCGTGCAGTGCAAATCGATTTATTTCATGTAACAAAGGAAACTGATTTTCTTCTCAAACTCTAACTTTCTAATCTTTATATCTTTCCAGCCTGATGTGATGACTTTAGATATTTTTAAATTTGTATTTTGCGAGATCAAATAGTCAAATTATTTTACCATTAGGTTGTAATGATATTGAGATGAGAAAATAAGAATTTGAGGCCAGTTATCATTTTCCTTTAAATCAATAAATGAATTTTTAATAAATAATTTCAGAATAGTTTTAAGCAACCTTTATCCCAGACAAACTGCATGAGGGGGCATTTTCCTCCCTGAGCCCCAGGAAAATATATTATTCACATTTTTGTGTCAATTTTTTCTTTTTGTAAAGTGTACATTTGATGTGTACAGTATTAGTACACATTTAATTAAGTACTGACAAGTTTTGTTAATTTGTATAATGTTAAATTATGTAAAAATGAACACGGGAAGCCGTAGTACATTTGAGTTTCCAAGCCGGGTCAACCTTTCCAGTCCCAGTTTGTACTGTACCTAGCTCTATGGACAGGACTAGCCAGTGCAACAAGGTTGACGCGGGGTAGAGGTGCGTGATAAAAGGAAATAAAAATGGAATAATTATTTAGACGGATTTATCTTGGAATGAATAAGATAAAGGAAATCCACGAAGATGCATTTCAGGTAAATATAAATGTACAGAGCTCTAAAGGCACCTTTCATATTTGTAAAGTACTGGTCAGTCGGATTCACAACAGGACCCTTAAACCTTTTATTGGTCCAGAGGCCGAATTTAAAGAATTTAAGTCGCGGCTTAAATCCGCCAAAACCCGGTTTAAATTGAGCGCCGGCTTGAATCTTGAAACATTTGATACAATTTTAAGTGAAACTAACCATAATTAAGCCGCGGCTTAAATTTAAAGCGCGGCTCAAATTCTTTAAATTCAGCCTCAGGAAAACTGACTTTTCCTCTTAATGCTTGTATGCTTGTGATAGATTTAATGTAAAGAAAAATCTCATATTTAATAATATCGTTAGTTCGAGAAAACGCTCATATCTCGTTTTCAATAGTTTAAAAAAATGGTTTGTTTGTGACCTATCGTTTTTGTATTTGAAAAGGATAAACAACCCTCAATAGAAGTTCACATTTCCTGTATTATTTGCTAGTCCTAGTTTGTGACACCTATTTGATTTAACAATTTGAAATCCCAGTTTAAAGAAAAGAACTGAATTTTGTCTTGCTAATAATTGGTTTATGTTTATAGGGAGTAGAGGGTTCATTAGAACTCCTGGATCTGGAGAGAAATAGACTTAATAACATCTCTCAAGCATTCTCTAAACTAACTCAGCTCAGATATCTTTACTTATCAAACAACAATATTAGGTAATTTATCTTAATAGTGATCAACGATGATAACATAATAGTTTTTATTTAATTGTAAACTGTAATTCAGTATCTCTTTTTAAAAAAAGAGTATTGTTTATATCCAATTCTTTAAAATGTTTAAATACCCCTCCTTAAACAAGCCGCCCCCCTCCCCCTGATTTACGTAAAAGTTCGTTAATTAGATCGACCCCCCTCCACCACTTTATACACATACATCTAAACAGTTTGTTTTTTAATCTTTGTGACAGAAACAATCTCAAGGAATAATAATTGTCTTAAAAAATTTTTTTTAAAGTGAATATTGGCAAATTATCTTTTTTCCATCTCATAATCTGAGTTCGTTTCCCTTATATGTCCATTTGGCAGCCAAATTTTTGTTTTAAAATCTTTTTTGTTCGTTTATTTTCTTGTGGTTTTTAACAATTTTTAGATTCTTTTATCGATTTTGATGATTATTATCGTTAGAACTGACGAGGGTCAACCCAGACCGAAATATATTTTCAATAATTGTGGAACTAACATCTGCTTTGTTTACTCTAAAGAGGTTTGGTCCATCACTATCACCGAATTTTAAAACTATGAAAACAAGAGTTAATTTGACTTTAACTATGATTATTCTGATTATAATCTCAATATCACTTAAATATTTATGAAGAAATTATTTTGACAAGTAAAACTGATATTTTTGTAAATGACATATTGACAAAACTACTGTTTATTCTAGTGAGATCGAGGAGAATTCTTTGGATAGTTTTGTAGAAAACCTTCAAGCTGTTTCATTTTCCGGAAACCATATCTCAACATTCCCGTTCAAACCTCTCAGACGAGCAGTTAAACTTTCCCATTTAAACCTTGGTAAATACATTTAAACCTTGGTAAATACATTTAAACCTTGGTAAATACATTTAAACCTTGGTAAATACATTTAAACCTTGATAAATACATTTAAACCTTGGTAAATACATTTAAACCTTGGTATATACATTTAAACCTTGGTAAATATATTTAAACCTAGGTAAATACATTTTAAACCTTGGTAAATATATTTTAAACCTTGGTTAATACATTTAAACCTTAGTAAATACATTTTAAACCTTGGTAAATACATTTAAACTTTGGTAAATACATTTAAACCTTGGTAATTACATTTAAACCTTGGTAAATACATTTAAACCTTCGTAAATACATTTAAACCTTGGTAAATACATTAAACCTTGGTAAATACATTTGAACCTTGGTTAATACATTTAAACCTTGGTGAATACATTTAAAACCTTGGAAAATACATTTAAACCTTAATAAATACTATGTAGATCTCAATGTTCAGGATAAAACTAGATCACTATGTAAAGTTAGATCTCTATGTGTAACTAGATCTCTATGTGTAACTAGATCTCTATGTATAACATGATCTCTATGTATAACTAGATATCCATGTATAACTAGATCTCTATATATAACTAGATATCTATGTATAACTAGATTTCTATGGTTAACTAGATCTCTATGTATAACATGATCTCTATGTATAACTAGATCTCTATGTATAACTAGATATCTATGTATAACTAAATCTCTATGTATAACTAGATCTTTATGTATAACTAGATAATCTATGTTTAGGATATAACTAGATCTCTATGTATAACAAGATCTCTATGTTCAGGATATAACTAGATCTCTATGTTCAGGATATAACTAGATCTCTATGTATAACTAGATCTCTATGTTCAGGATATAACTAGATCTCTATGTTAAGGATATAACTAGATCTCTATGTTCAGGATATAACTAGATCTCTATGTTTAGGATATAACTAGATCTCTATGTTCAGGATATAACTAGATCTCTATGTATAACTAGATCTCTATGTATAACTAGATCTCTATGTATAACTAGATCTCTATGTTCAGGATATAACAAGATCCCTGAGATAATATCAGATCATTTTCAAGGCTGGGCTCAAAACCTTGATACTCTCATACTAAGGTAAGGAATTAACACTCGCCACGAACTCGAATTTTCTAATCAATCTTTCTTTGCAACAAAATTCAAAATGTAAAGGTTTACACTATATCCATTGGGATTTTATTCCATTCGTTTTTTTAATTTCCCCCTATTTATATTATTTATTTAGATAGTAAACATGTAGTTGATGATGTTAATAGGTCATCTTTATTTATTTTCAATTTCTCCAGCTTTTTTAAAGATTTTTCAATAATATTATGCTTCTTCTAAATTAATTAAATCAAATTAATTTTTTGTTTTTTTTCTTTTTTGATAGACAAGTAATTGTTAAAAGCATATAAATGAATTTGAGCCTTTCACAAACCTTGATTTTCTAATCTCTATGTATATAACTATGTCTGATGGTGTACCTTGTAGAGCTTAGATATTTAAAACTAGATCAAATGATCTAATTTTGAAAAAACGCTGGTTTACAACATCTGAGTCTGAGTTTAATGAATTTGAGCCGCGTCTCAAATCCACAAAAAACCCGGTTTCAATTGAGCGCCGGCTTAAATCTTGAAACATTGAATACAATTTTACGTGGAACCAACCATATTTAAGCTGCGTCTCAAATTTGAGACACCGCTCGAATTCTTTAAATTTCGTTAGAAAATTTAAGTTTGCGGCTAAGACTCAATTCGTTTAGTCTTACAAATGCCTTAAACATCAGACAACTTTCAACCCGGACTTTCATTCCGATGATGTTTATTTTTACTCTTTTATTGTTCTTAATTTAGTTAAACAGTTTTATATTTAGAAATAATCGATTGTCCCAGCTGGGACCTCATACCTTCAGAGGATGTCCCAAACTTAGGAATCAATCAATCTTAATCATCTGATTCATTCAAAAGCTCTCACCTAAGTAGCTCGTTGATGTTTTCCAGTTAATGTTGCCAATTACTAGGTTTCAAGTTGTACCAGACACTTTAATGTAGTTTTTAGTAACCCTTTATTTAAACAAAAGAATGGTATGTCATTCACAAAGGTCTCCTTTAAACCTTCGTCCTATCAAAAATGATAAAGATATAATGGCAAAACTCTCTAAAAGCTAATAAAAGTATTAAATGGACAGTTTTTAACACAAATCTGAAGAAAAGTTTAAATTATATCTATATGATAAAACAAGACATTTGTTTGAATGTTCCCTATAGGCGGCCAAACGGCTAGACCGAATGAACTGAAATTTTTTGTGGACACTCATGGGGGTGACAAAGGCTTAAAAAATCTATTTTTTTCTTTAAATTTTTAAATTTTTTTTTTTCACGGGTAACGACAGGCCCTTTAGGCTTCAGTTAGTGTATAATAAAAAAGATAAAAAGGACGCAAGAGCAAGTTAAAGTGCAATGATGTTAAAAAGAATGATAGGAAAAGAAATCTTACCCCTCCCCTAGGGACCCTGACCCCCCTTTCCCCCTCCACTGTTAAATTAAATGCATCAAGTTAATATTTTTTTTTACCATTGTGTTGATTGATTGATTGATGAAGGGAACTGTCCCTGAGTTTTAACAGTTTGCAGAGTATAGATGATCTAGCATTCAAGGATATTGGAGGATCTTTAGAGAGCTTGGAGATCAGTTTTGGACTCAATCTCAGGTAAGTGATTAGTTTTGAACTAAATTTTGGTTAAAGATTAGTTTTGGACTCAATCTTAGGTTAGAGATTAGTTTTGAACTAAATCTCAGGTTAGAGATTAGTTTTGGACTAAATCTTAGGTTAGAGATTAGTTTTGGACTCAATCTCAGGCTAGAGATTAGTTTTGAACTAAATCTCAGGTTAGAGATTAGTTTTGAACTAAATCTTAGGTTAGAGATTAGTTTTGGACTAAATATCAGGTTAGAGATTAGTTCTGGACTAAATCTCAGGTTAGAGATTAGTTTTGGACTAAATCTCAGGTAAAAGATTAGTTTTGGACTCAATCTCAGGTTAGAGATTACTTTCAGACTTAAACTCAGGTTAGAGATCAGTTTTGGACTCAATTAGTTTTGATTCCTGATTCTACTCTAAAACCTTGAAATCTCAAACTGTTTCCTGAATCTGCTCTAAATCTTTTTATTTTATTGCATTTCCTGTATCTTTTCTAATCCTTGATATTTCAGAATATTTCCTGAATCTTTTCTAATCCTTGATATTTCAGAATATGTCCTGAATCTGCTCTAAACCTTGATATTTCAGAATATTTCCTGAATCTGCCTAAACCTTGATATTTCAGAATATTACCTGAATCTGCTCTAAACCTTGATATTTCAGAATATTTCCTGAATCTGCTCTAAACCTTGATATTTCAGAATTGTTCCTGAATCTACTCTAAACCTTGATATTTCAGAATATTTCCTGAATCTGCTCTAAATCTTGATATTTCAGATTATTACCTGAATCTGCCTAAACCTTGATATTTCAGAATATTACCTGAATCTGCTCTAAACCTTGATATTTCAGAATATTTCCTGAATCTGATCTAAACCTTGATATTTCAGAATATTACGTGAATCTGCTCTAAACCTTGATATTTCAGAATATTTCCTGAATCTGCTCTAAACCTTGATATTTCAGAATATTTCCTGAATCTGCTCTAAACCTTGATATTTCAGAATATTACCTGAATCCGCTCTAAACCTTGATATTTCAGAATATTTCCTGAATCTGCTCTAAAACCTCTTCAAAAACTTCTCTGGCTCTCCTTGGATAATAATAATATTGAAGAAATCAGGAAATTACAAAAATAGAAAGTTTTAGCTTGAGGATAGTTGTTAAGATACAAAAAATATTGAGTTAAAATTCAATAAATTTCAAGTGACATACTGCAACTTACAACGGTACATCTACCCTTAAAATCGTAATCTGAAAAATAATTTATCTCTTGTTTCTGAAGCAAGAAATGCGCAAGTCATTTTGGTATAGCAACTAAATTATACTTGATCAGATAAAGTGTTTAAGGAAACCTTTGTAAACCGTTAAATTAATTTTTATTTAATTTCACTGTCCCTTAAAACTTGATTAAATCACGGTCTTCTTTTTGTAAACTTATAATCTGCATTTACATGTCGTTGTATATACCCCTCAAAGTTTTCCAAAGATTAATATATGTAAAGTTTAAACTGAGTTCAAGTTCTTCTATTGATCCATCAGACTAGAGATGGGGATGTTCGACTTTTTTCATTTCGTTGGTTCATTGTTCGTGAACGACCCATTTTGTTCGTTTTTTTTCGATAGTGCAAAAATTGTTTTGTTCGTTCTCAAAATTATCGTTCATTTTCCATCTATTTCGTTCGTTTTCTCACCTAACGATCGTTCAGCAAAATCGTTTAGTTTTTTCTGAAAGACAATCTTTTTCACGAAAAACTTCGTTCGTTCTAAAAAATTTCGTTCGTTCAAGAAAAACGATACCCATCTCTATCCAGCTCCATGCATAAGTTAAAAGCTTGAAGGTTGAGGCTTGGAAGTCAAAGGATGCATATTTAATGAAAGCTGAGATTAAATATTAAGATTCCTCTAATCAAGTTCTAAAATATAATAGAACCAAATAAACAAAACAAAAACAGAAAAAGGGGGGTNTGAAGGGGGGACTTATAGAAAAAAAAACAGAATAAATGGGGTTGAGTGGGATAAGTGTTCATTTATTTTTAAATACTCTTGAATCCCTCATTAGGTTGCTAAGATATAGGGGTTTAAAATCAGACAAAGGTACAATTCCTTAACACAAAATCTCAAAACTGATTTAAAATTAAGTTGATACATTAAGATTATTTTGTAATTTTTTCCTAATCAGTGAAACATCATTATACAACCTTGGTGAGTTACAGTATCTAAATCTGGAAGCAAACAAGCTAAAAAGGTAAACAATTCAAGGGAATATTCTTTAAAAAAATATTGGTACAAGATAATCCCAAATTAAACTAATTATCGATTCGTACAATTTTTACTTCTTTAAAAAAATGATATCGACCGTTTCCAAAGACTTGAGCGAGTTAAGAATAATGAATTATATTTGAACGTTTTCCAAACTTAGACTTCAGACCCCTCCAACTTTTTCAAAACATCTCCAAACTTTTACTTCAGACCACTTTAACTTTTTCCAAACTTTTACTTTAGACCCCTTTAACTTTTTCCAAACTCATACTTTAGACCACTTTAACTTTTTCCAAACTGTTACTTTAGACCCCTTTAACTTTTTCCAAACTCATACTTTAGACCCCTTTAACTTTTTCCAATATCATACTTTAAACCCCTTTAACTGTTTCCAAACTTTTACTTTAGACCCCTTTAACTTTTTCCAAACTCATACTTTAGACCCCTTTAACTTTTTCCAAACTCATACTTTAGACCACTTTAACTTTTTCCAAACTTATACTTTAGACCCCTTTAACTTTTCCAAACTCATACTTTAGACCACTTTAACTTTTTCCAAACTCATACTTTAGACTACTTTAACTTTTTCCAAACTCATACTTTAGACCACTTTAACTTTTTCTAAACTCATACTTTAGACCACTTTAACGTTTTCAAAACTTTTACTTTAGACCACTTTAACTTTTCCAAACAGTTCCTTTAATAATAGTATGCAAAAGTAAAAGAAAAATATTAGAAAATCAATTATATAAAAAATACTTATTTAGATTTCCCAATAATCTGCTGCATAAGAATGTTCATAAGAACCTACGTGATGTTCGGCTCTCATACAACAGGAAAACATTGCCAAATCAAATAATATCAATTTTTATCAATTTTCATCTTATCTGTGTTGAGTATCCTTTATCTTGAACGCTTAATCTCGATATCTAATGTGGGCACTTTTAAATTTGAGGATAAATAGTTGACCTCTCAATAAAAGTTGTCCCTGCAGGGCATGCCAATCATGGGCCATGAAATAAAATAAAATTAAACCATACACTGTATTTCCGCCCGTCACTCACAAGTAAACTTTTTTGTAAGGATCTCTGATTTAAAAAGGCGGTTCAACTTCCTCGCTGGATGATTTATTGTTCTATAAGGAAGTTCACATGCAGTACAAGAAATACTTTAAGAAGTACGTTGCTTAGTTTTCCTATTGAAAGAAGGAAAAGTTCAGTTCTCAGATAGCAGCAAAGAATCATAATGCCTAATTACCCTTGACAGTACTTTCAAATGACCCTATTACCTCAGATCTGAACTTTTTCTTCGTTTAATAGTAATGTTATGCAACGTACTTCATGTAGTAGATAGTGAACTACAAGTGACCTTTCTTATAGAAAAATAAATCATTCTGCGAGGAAGAATTAAACCGATTTTTAAATCAGAGATCCTTACAAAGAAGTTTACTTTTGACGGGCGGAAATACAGTGATCCAATTATGGTTGCTAATAATAATAATATAATAAATTTGCCTATTCTTTAAACTATAAAGCTAAAGCAAGTGCGTTGTCGTTTTAAAATATACATGTCCAGGACTGCAAAAATGGGGTAAAATCATTGACCAAGGCGTCGCGAGATCTTAAAGTCGATCAGTTTTGAACATTTTTGAAACTTTTCATAGAAGTCTGGATCCTTCATTTGTCGGTAAGTCTTCCCTTGAAAATAACCATTGTTGTTTAAATAGTAAAATGTAATGAGGTTGAAGTGTGGGGCAGCTGACAGCAGTGAACCGCACTTGAAATCATAAATATTTAATCAAACAATTTTAAACTTTGTTTTAATAGTTTTTCCCCTTCTAAACTTGAGACTGCGGGGGGGGGGGAGGCTTTATTTAAGTTTAACATATATGTGTAAAACATGGTTTACAATGTTATATACGTTTATATATGTTTACTTTGTCCATGGAGGCCAAATTTAAATAATTAAAATCGCGTCGCTGAACCGCCAAAAACCGGTTCTTAAGTGGAACTAACAATGTTTGAGTCGCGTCTTAAATTTTAGACGCGGCTCAAATTCTTTAAATTTTGCCCCAGGCTTTATAAAAGGTCAGTTTAAAAGGTTTAATTATTTTTTCTATAAGGTAAAATAAATGCCTTATTAGCCAAGGGTGTAATGCAAGGAAAGTTAATTGCGGTCGTGTATACTCTGCGTACAGATTGAAACCAGTTCTCTTTGGGCGGAATTTGTAAACAAGAATAGATGCATCAGTGTTCGTTTAGTATCCGAGGAGGTTTAATGCATTGAATTTTGATAATTTTGATAATTCACATAATAGTTTCCTATGACCAGAATATTTCATTGATTATTCATGTGAAAGATGGATCCCATGTCAGGCTTCGACATCCGTCTTGTGTTTACATTACCGCCCAGAGACAGTACACTGCAGTACAAAAGATGCGTACACTTCTGAAATAACTTTCCTTGCATTACATCCTCGTTATTAGCTATCAATTGGTATTAGACTTACATTTCAAAGATAACTCAAGTTTATCCTGCAGCACTCACTTTGCATATTAAAAATCCATTCAAGGATCAGAATTTTATGCATTTCAGTTTTCTTATTTATTTGAATAATCTATAACAAATATGAATATTTTCTTTAATAAATTTAATCCCATGTTATACATAACAAGATGCAGTGTCAGAAGAACAAGTTTAGGCCTCGAACATATTTCTAAATTCCTTATATCGTTGCAACCTGATTTTCAAAACTTATTCATATTTCAAACTATGAATTCTCTCTGATCAACTACATAGTAAAGTTTTCAAATTTAAAAGATTGCAAAGAAAATGGATTAAAAAGAGTGTTCAGTCGCTTGGATTTCAACTAATTATATTCTGAAAGCCAATAAAGTTTTTTCTACCATTTCTATAAATGTAATTTGACAATAAAATGAACACAGATTAGAGAATATCAGCCTAGGACAGTTTGCAGGACTGGATAAACTTCAAACAGTCCTTCTAACAGGAAATAGGATTCAGCAAATACAATCTCAGGTGGGTACAGTTTATCCTCCTAGGACAGCCATGGATATTTGGATAGCTGCGTAGTGAAGAAAGGGGATACGGGGACACTAATTGGAGTGGGTACAGAGCAGGAATAAGGGAAAATTAGACAGATGAAGGGTTAAAGACATGGATAGGGGAAGATGAATAACTGGGGGATAGGACTGAGATAAATAGCTAGAGGTAAAGGATAGGGATAAGGGAAAATGGATAGCTGGAGGTTAGGGACAGGGATAGGGGGGAGATGAATAGCTGCAGGAGGATCAGGACAAGGATAGGGGAAAGCAAGCGGAGAACCGAGGGAATGGAAATTGGAAATTGAATCTGGAAATGAAATGAAAATCGTCCGGAAACTATTTTTATTTCTAGGTATTGTTTCATGCAACTTTCTGATAAGTGGGTTGCAGTTTCTTCGGCATGGGTTTTGCAAAATATTAAAAACATGCAGCGGACGGAAGATACAGTTTTCTTTCACACATCCNCTCATATAAAATACTAAAATATTTGCTGACTTGTTGAACTCTGTTTCTGCTAGGTTTGCAGGGTCTGGGTTCCTGAAGTTTCCAACCTAACATTTTACAATAAATATCTGTACAACAAACTATCAGTTTATTTTTACTTTTTAAATTTTTAAGCCGTTAAAAACATTTAAAGAATTGCATATATTCTTAAGTTTAACATTGACTTATTAAAAAAGATGATCTAACTGTGCAAGGGTGGACCTTAAGGCCCTTTAGGCTAAAATTTAGAAGTCTTAAGAATGCTCATAGTACTTTTTAACTATGACGATTTTGTATTTTTTTGAGATTGTGTTGTGGCGATTTAGAGATGGGCACGTTTGACTTTTAGCATTTCGTTCGTTCATCTTCGTGAAGAACCCATTTCGTTCTTTTTCCAAACTATCGTTTTTTTTCTATTTATTTCGTTCGTTTTCTCACTGAACGATTGTTGAGTAAAATCGTTCGTTCAGCAAAATCTTTCGTACAGTAGAATTGTTCGTTCGATAAAATCGTTTGTTCAAAAAAATCGATCGTTCAGTAAAAAAATATTGTTTTTTTTAAATGTGTTTAAAAATCGTTAGTTTAGTAAAAAAAACGATTGTTTTTTCCAAATCTTTTGCAAAATTCGTTCGTTCAATAAAAAATATCGTATTTTAAGTTTGTACGAACGATTTCAAATCTTTCGTTTTAAAATTCTTTCGTTCAAAAAAAAATGATGCCGTCTCTAAAGTGGCGTTATATGAAGGATGTCAATCTCTCCTAAAACTCAAAACTATTCCTGACAAAAATAAGTGTCTTTGCAGTAATTAAATTTATTTCAAGACATCATAAATCTTGAAAGCTTGAAAAGTTAATTTTATGTTTAGAGTTTCCGTAATCTGCCGAACATTGTGACTCTTATTATAACTCATAACCAGCTCCATACAATTCAGAGACAGGTACATGTTTAAAAGGATTTAAAGGGGTCTCAGTCTGAGGTCAGAATTAGTGAATCGCAAGAACTACTTGGACTATGCACGGAAAATTTAAGTACTTCTTTAGTAAGCCCGACAGCTTTTAATAAAAGCAGAAGTAAAAGAGAATGTACAAGACATGGAGTTAAACTAGTGACACCTGGCTCAAACTAGGGTTTCCAACGCAATTGGATATTACTTACGGCGCAATTGTGAGCCAGCTGTAAACTCCTAATAATTTCACACAATTGCGCGCAACGGAATTGCGATTGGAAACCCTAGCTCAAATACGCCTCGTCGTTTATAATTCCCGACCTGTGAAAGGATTTTATTTAACTAATAATTGTGAAATTTTGAAAACAAAATGTTTAGTTTTTTAGCCATGTGTCCCCCATGGGATTTCTAATAAAATCGCCATATTTTTTCAGCCGTTTGGCCAGCTATAGCTAACAAATATATGCACGAAGAGCTTTATTATATAGATTAGATAGCTGAGGGGGATTCTTTAATCTTTTTAAACTGATTTCTGGTCGTTTTGTAACTCTCATCATCTTTTAAAATCATTGCAACTTGATGTTGTAGACATTTGTAATTTCAAATATATTAATTCTTCCAGATCTAATATTGATACCATCAGGTTGCAAGGATATAGGGATTCGAAAATTAGAGTGTGGGTTAAAAAAGAATTTTTTCAAAAGTTTCGAAAACATGAAAAATTCGACATGCGTAGGCGTTCCTGAACCTGCCCCACCTGCAGAAGGTTGAACTGCAGCACAACCTTCTGGAGGAGTTCACCCTCTCCGTGTTCAAGAACACCACTCTGCACCCGGATACTCCCATGTTCCTTAACATCAGCCACAACAAGATTAGGTAAACCGTCATAACTCTAATACCACTTATTCGATAATGTACAGCAAAAAAGGTTGAAGGATAAAGCTAAAATTATTTTAATCTCATTTGAACACATGATTTTTAAACAACTATGAAAACTGTTCATCAAATTCTTAGATAGCTTCGACTGCCTCGCAACTGCTTGAGCTTTGGTATTACCTCACCAAGCCATTTATACTTTTTTGAAGCCCATGGCATATACATTTTTGAACTGCGACGAGCTGGTTTCTAGCTTAAGTTAGACGGAGTAATTTGAAAAATACTGAAAGCTTTGTTCACAGTGAGAGTTGGATGATTCCTTTGATGTACTGTCCCTTTTGGCCGCCTGTGTACTGTACAGTGTAGTTCGATTAATTTAGAGAATCCATTTCATATTAAATCATACTTTTTACACTTGAGTTTTGTGTGATATTGTACAGCTTTCCCGCGAGACATGACAGTAGCAAGACGATTTGAAAGTCGTCTTTCAACTTTTGATTTATTAGGAACATTCTGTCGTCAACCATTTTTCAAAGACGACCTTCTATTCTCTTGCTACTGTTAAGTTTCGTGGGACACACTGTATTTGATGATTTATCACTAGAATAACGTGGTCCGGCTTTGTTTTTAATCTAAAGAAGAAAGACCTATAAAGAATTAAAGGAAGGAAAGGTGATGGGAAAGAAGGGTGGGAAGGGGGGGAGCGATTAAGGAAAATAAGCTAGGATGGGAAGGGGGGGGGGGGAAGGAAAAGAAGGGTGGGAGGGCATGTTGAGTGAAAAATGATCTAAAAACTATGGGAAACATGGAGAAGCTAATATATTATCTATACTTCTATTAGTTGCTTGTATACACATTACATAAGCTCAACCTAGATTAATCAGGGAAAATACATCGTTTTACAACTACAGAGATTTTTAGGCTTTCAGACAAAAAATTTGACTTTAACCTAGCTACAGGGTTGGCTTTTTAAACTGAGAATTGTTATACTCAAGTTAAGATTTAAGTATGTCTCATGAACATAGGAACAACCATATTTCAGTAATAATAATTTGTTCCTCACAAATTTTACTTTTCAAAAATGCTTGTGAAGAAATTCTCCATACAATTTTGAGCCAACACAATGGTAAATAGCATAAAATCTTAAAAATTATGATTTTTTGGAAATTCATATCTCTGCTTATTATTCCCTAGTAGGTTCATGTACATTACAATGTAAGTTGTATAATGTATATATACAATATATATAGTATAGGATAGTAATATATCCTCTGGGAGAAACATTATAGTTTTTATCGGAGAACTCACCAGAAAGTCAACCCATATGTAAAACATAGAGTATATATTCATTTATAGAGTCAACCCATAGATAAACCATAGAGTATATATTCATATATAGAGTCAACCCATATATAAAACATAGAGTATATATTCATATATAGAGTCAACCCATAGATAAACCATAGAGTAAATTGTATACGCTGACAACCTAGACTAAAAAGATCACAATTTATATAGAAATTGTGTATGATCTATCAGAAAAGAATGACTGACATTTAATAAAATGAATAAATTATGCACAGTTGGAACTTTAGTAAAGTGCTCACCGTAAACGACTTATACAGGGAGAACAATTTAAATGTTTTATCCTAATTTCTTCCCAGAAATTATTTCAGCTGTAAAGGGGGGGGGGGATAAGGTAAAAGAGTCAAACTTGGCCAATTGTTTTCCTTTTTTAAATATATTTAAATTTGAATAGATGGGCAGCAGGTGTGACAAGGATTTTTTTTGCAAAATATGAACTCAAAAAGTTAGAACATACATACAATATATTCATATATAGAGCCAACCCATGATAAACCATAGAGTATATATTCATATATAGAGTCAACCCATAGATAAACCATAGAGTATATATTCATATACTCTATGGTTAAACAGCGCCTTTTCTGAATTGATAAAGATTGAGTATTATAAAGTATTATCTGAGTGATACGTACTAAATAATACAGATAGAGTTGTATCCGGATTGATATTGACTAGTGTATTATTGCGCAACCTTGAGATCAAGATTGAGTTGTGTCTAGTGAAACAGATACCTGAGAATACGGAAGTTTATACCTGGATTGGTACAGATCTATTTATTTAGTGGAGTAGGGTATTTACTAAATAGAGTCACCCATAGATAAACCAAAGAGTATAGATTCACATATATAAGGAGGGAGGCAAAAAAAGGGAACATACTTTTAAACAGAGTAAATTCGTAAATGAAAACCATAGAACAAAAATTAAAGTTGAATATAAAGCAAAGAGCATTGTATCATATTTTGCTTAGAAAAAGACAGTGGTTTTTCAAAAAAAATTTTTTTTAGGAATCTTCTTCCTGGAGATGAATTGGGTCCAACTCCACTCATCCAGCTGATAGATCTATCTTTTAACTCATTACTACAGGTACTGTCATCCTATTTCACTCAATCAGCTAGATCAATCAATCAATCAGATAGATATATTCATGGACTTTAACTCATTACTACAGCCATCCTGTCCACTTACCCAACTGTACAGTGTATTGAATGTACATTGTTAATACAATACATATTGTACCTTCTCCGAATTAATCGGGCTTTCCTTACATGTCCAAAGTTGTGCGCTTTAAAACTAAATGCCATGTCATAAAATTACGTTTTAGTATTGGTTTCAAACAATTGAATTTTTTACCGAAACGTAGCACCTTTGTGAGTGGTTCAGTCGACATGTTGAGTCTGTCGAAAATGCGCAGTAGATTTTTTCTAAAAGCTTCTAAAGAATCTGCTTCTTTAAGGTTTGGAATTTGCCATATCATTGCAACATTTTTCTAACCGATATCATCCGAAAATTTTAATTTTTTTTTTATTTTCAATAATGATAATTTAATTCTTGAAATTGATTTACTTCTGCCAGATTATCACATGCAAGATTTGAAGCTCAGAGGTTAAAGTTGAATTGTACTAAACTTTAACTTTTGACATATTGGTTTCTAAAGTTGTCTAAACCACTCAGAATCCATTGAAATCCATCCACAATATATTTTATTACATAAACTTAGGCAATTCTAAATGGGGTTAAGAACACGAGGGTTTCAAGAGGAATTTTTCTTAAACTAGGCATTTCTGGCGCTTTGTGCCATTTTTACGGGTTATTATGTATTGATTATTGAACCCATCTGCCCCTTTAGGTTAAAGTAAATTCAGCCTATTTGAAGCGTAAAGTCTGACCGCGGCAACCTTATTGCACCGGCTAGTCCTGTCCTTAGACCTAGGTACAGTACAAACTGGGACCGGAAAGGTTGACCCGGCTTGGCTGCCCGTGAGTTAAATATTTAGGACACAAAATTTCAAGATGAAAGGTTCCTTAAAAAAATGTTTTACTTTAAATTATATATTGTAGATATAAATCTACCTAGTATAAAGCTATAAATATCAATATTGGGGTTTAGTTAACTCCACATCACGCACTAAATTTTTAAGATTGGTTTTAATGATGGGGGAACAGGATTAATCAAAATAATAAATAAATGTTACTTTTTAATTTTCAATTTCAATATTGTTGAAAACAGAATTTTTTGTAATTGTAAACTATTCTCGGAGAAAGAATTTCATCCTTTCACTGTCCTGCCATATACTAAACAGCAGGTGACAAAGATATTGTGATTTTTGAATTATATTTTAAGGCATCGGTTTAGTTGCTTTGGTTTACAGTATAATTAAATAGACTTAGAACAAGAGAAGAAACAATGGATTAATAATTTGTTTTTGGTTTGTTCTGGTACCATCTTTATTTTATTCAAGAGCGCTCCATTTTATAATTTTTAATCTTTTAGTATTATAAAGGCGTAATTACAAGTTTTGTCCGTCAGGATTCTTTAGTTAAAATATCACAATCTTTACCCCCCCCCCCACTTGACTTTATGTATTAACCCTATTCCATCTTTTTACTTTATCATAGTTCGCACACTTTTGCTTTACACATTTTTGGCTAAAAAGTTTGATCTTGTAATAAATATTTGCAATTTTGCAAAGGAATTAATTTTTGCCACAAAATTAAATTTTCTTATCCCTTTTTCTTTTCAACCTAATAATGGAGTAAATCTTTGATATTTCAAATTTTGATTATTTGATCTAACCGAATTCAAAGTTTGAAATATATAAGGTCTACAACATTGGGTTCCAAAGATATTGGGATTATTATTCTGAGTTTTATTCCTTTTCAAATTTGTTTGATAGATTATCATTAAAGAGACCAAAGCCTTTCCATAAATGTTATCAAAAGTTATAGATTTGTATCAAAATAAGAACTAGAGGGGGGGTTAATATACATAAACCCTGTAAATTAAATATATTCTAGATTCCTGAATATTTCCTGCGGATGGTATCTGGTTCCCTGCGTTCCCTGGATCTAAGTGAAAACCATATCTCCGAAATTGATGATTCCTCTCTCAACTCTCTCATCAATCTTCAAATACTAAAAATAAACCACAATCTGATCACCACAGGAATTCATCAAAAAAAAAATTTCTTACAATTTTTTTTATTTATTCCTTGCAGGGTTTTGCGAATTTTTTTGTTCTCAAAAACTAAATGTTCAAAAATTATTTTATCTCTAAATGTCTGAAAATGTAAACTTTGGGCTTTTAAGATTCATCTTGCAAGATGCAAATCAAAATGTCTATTTTCAGACTAGACAATATAAATTTAAATATTTCCCTAAAGAATATAATTTTATTTTATTTTATATCCCCATCCCCTCAAATTGGATTGAATCATAACATAAATTGGGCTCGAGATTTTCATAATAAAGTTTATAATATCTTGGCTTAAAGCAGGGAACACTGCAAACTCCTGTTCATTTCAATTTTCAAGTACCGGACTGAAAATAGTTCAGTACACATACAGACTTATACAGAGCCCGAAACTTAAGACAGAGTATTGTAATGAAACCCAGTTTAGGAAACCCGTTTTCATAAATCGGGTCAGGTAGTTTTGTAGATACCAATATTTTAGTTTAGAAATATTATTTTTATTTTTTTATGATTTCTTTAATTAAAATCTATGCACAATGCACATGGCCCCAAAAAGAAAACTTGGGAGTTTTGTTCAACGGTACTCTCTTAGACTTACGGCTCAGGCGGCAAAACGCGACAGTATACATTATACATTAGTTAGTCTGTGGCAAGGAGATATTGAATAGAAGGAGGGGGCGATAGGGTTTCCGTACACTTTGCTGTGACGTTTTTGGACTGCTGAAGAAATAGTTTTTGCGTAACAAAAATAATAAAGATGGTAAACAATAACACAAAAAATAAACAGACATCTAGGGGGGGGGGGGCAGGATAACCTTGAATTCTATTGAAAATGTCTGTAATAAAGTCCTTTTCGTATAAAACTAAAATCCTTAACTTTTTCAATGTTATTAACAAGATTTAATACTACTTTCACAGTTTACTAACTCATGTTTGTTTGCATTAGATCGGCTGCCATTGCTATTGTTGTTACGCAAAAACTAGTTCTTCAGCAGTCCAAAAACGTCACAGCAAAGTGTACGGAAACCTATCGCCCCCTCCTTCTATTCAATATCTCCTTGGTCTGTGGTACTGGTATACAGTATGCACTGAATAAATCAACCCCTTCTAGTAAGATTAATGTTTGTGTTTCAATGAGTTCATAATAAACTACAATATTCTAACCTTGAGATAGATCTATTTTAATTAAAATTTTGATCTTACAAAAATTCAGAAAATAGTTAATAAATTCTGTAATACAGACTGTGAACTAAATGATAAAATAAAGGAATTGAGTCTTTGGAACAAAATCAAATATTTAAACCTCAATAACTTTAGAACCTGATGTTGTAAACCTTTGAGATTTCAAACTCAGATTATTTGAACTAACAGAATTCATAGTTTGAAATATCTAAGGTCTGCAACATTTGTTTCCAAAGATATAGTGATTAGAAAATCAGAGTATGTGGCAAAAACTCAATTCCTTTCAAAAAAAGAACAACTTCTAAAACATTAAAAAAAGATCTTTCGAAAACTCTAAAAGAATAGGAGTTAATACAATATGCAAAAAAACACTTAATCCTCCTATTGTCAAGATTTTTGGTATAACCACCCCATTGGTCGGCTGTAGGAAATCTAGCCAATCAGAAGACCGTAAGCCCTGACTTTAATGGCCCAAGTCTTGGTCAAATAATACTAAAACGTGATCATTTTAGAAGAAAGAAAATTCTTCAATATTAAGAACTCATAAATATATAAACCATCCAGGCCCGTAACCAGGGAGGGGGGGGGGTGCAAGGGTGCAGGTGCACCCCCCTTTCTTCTGAAAGGGGGGTGCAATGACGAATTTGCACCCCCCCAGTCCCATATAAAAGAAATTGTTTCTCATAATTTTCTAAAAATCTAGTTACCAATAATATAGCTCAAGCAAGAGTTGATTCCCTTCCCAAACCAAATTTTAATCTTATTGTGTGTTACTCATTTTTGGGAGTTTCAAAAACATTATTTTAAGCGAGGATATTTGTCATTTTTAGTCAAAGTAGAAGGTTTTTTTTGAGTACTCAAAAATTCACTAAGAATCTCAATGTCTCAATGTCAATAAATGAACTCTTTTAAACAAAATATTGGAAATTTTATTTTTTAATCATCTTCATAATATCATGATGAGGCCGAGGGACAAGAAGCCTTGATTTTAAATAATGAATTTTTTCCTTAAGCTAAAGTACCATTCATTTATTTTTTAAGTATATTGTATATGAAAACTGAAAAGTTTCAGGCACTAAAATGTAACCCTTAAAAGCTTAAATACACTTGTTAAAAAGGTCTTTATAGCGTACATTGACAATGTAATAAAGAAAACCATATACCACCGTAAAAACAAACCAAGCATTGCTTAAAAAAAAACCAAAAAAAATTTTCGCCTTCGCACCGAAGGCGAAAATTTTTTTGGGTTCTTTGCACCCCCCCTGGAAAAATCCTGGTTACGGGCCTGAGTCCATCCCAAATTAGACTCTACTATATTCAATTCTTTGATTATACCATAAACTTTCCAGGTAAGATTAGGTTGTATTAAACATTCATTTGATTTATTTCTCAGACTCCCCTCCTCNACTGAACAATCGACATTATTAATCAAGGTTCTTTAAAACTAAAGCTTATCACGCATTTCGTACATAAATATTAAATAATGTTCTTACTGCTAATAGATGTAGTTATTACACAGCAGAACATAATACCTAGCAAACTAGCAAATTAAATAAACAGCTACATATTTTCTTACAATTGTTCTCTTTGCGCCATTGTTTTCTGAAAATTTTTTTGAAAAAACTGTGTCAAACATACAGTGAGACTCATAAAACTGTGGAAAAGGAAGACGACATTCTTACAATCTTATGTTTATTTGGTGTAAGATACTTTCCCAAGGGCGACTTCCCAAGTGACAATTTTCCAAGTGGCAACTTCCCTAAAGTGTAATTTCCCGAGCGGCAACTTCCCATGTTAGGTTAGGCTGAGGCGCCGCAGGCTGCTATGGGGGCCGAGCACTGTGGCTATTATCGGCTAGGGGACCGAGCGCTGTGGCTATTATCGGCTAGGGGGCCGAGCGCTGTGGCTATGATCGGCTAGGGGCCGAGCGCTGCGGCTAGAAAAGGCTATGGGCCAAGTGCTACGGCTAGGACAGACTTGGAAAGTTGCGCCTTGGGAAATTGCAATGTGATACAGATGGAGATAAATGTGACAATAATACTGCACTACTATTGGTGGGAATTCTGGTCACGTGATAAGGACATATAAATAATTATGCATATAATTATGTATAATAATTATCAATTAAATCTATTAAAAATAAAAAAAATTATTAAATTCAAATAATAATAGAAGCAAACCAAAGTTACTTAGGCTCCTCTGGGATATCGCCGATTTTAATATTGGTTGCGTATTTGCTTAATCTGTTTAAACCTACTAATTTTATACAAAATTGTATATTTAAAGATTTTCCTTTACAGCCCCTTTAAATCTGACAACCGTCTTTCTTTCTATTCTACTGATTTATGGTTACCACTTAATTTGCGATAAACTTTCTTGATAAAAAAATGCTTCCGATTATAAATCTTTGGATAGAAAATTTGAAAATTTTCATCATTGATTTGTGTGTATCACCGATGTCGCTCTTTATTGAAAGAAAAGCCCAGATCTTTCAATGTATTTTGAATATCTAGGAAGTGTTTAAAGGCAATTTTTTCATAATTTTTAATAATTTTTTTCAAAAATGTTATTTATTTTTCCCTATTTTGTTGAAAACCCATAAAGAAAATTTTTGGCGTTAAGCGCAAAGATACATACATTTTTTTGGGGAAAAAAATATTTTCAAAAGGGAGGAAATAGTTTTTTAAAAATTTACACCCCCTTGTATATTTTTAAATCGTCGGTTTAGAAAATCTGCCTGTTTGATGAATATCTGTGTATAGTTGCTAAATCTGGGTTGGTTGGACTAAAAACCTTGCAGATTATAGATCTAAGCTTTAATAGACTAGATGGGCTTCAGTTCGGACAGGTTAGAGTTTTACATTTTACTTCGCTCACTTCTATTTCAATTGTGAACATTTTCTTTCAGTACACATTGTAAAAAAATAATGAAAAAGTTCGCGGATCTAAAAAAAACTTTGTGTATTTTCAAAATCGTAAGAGAATCAAATTTTGTTGGAGGCAAATTTAAATCTAAATTTTTATCATCCATAAACCTTCCCTGGGGTCATGAGAGGAGTGACCCACACAAAATTTGGGCCCGATCGGTTCAGCCGTTTTGACGTTTATTGGAAACATATCCAGACAGACAAAAAACAGTTTTATTTTGTATTCAAATTTCCTTCTTCAAAATTGAGAAAAATAATCTTTTTTTACGAAAGAAATTAATGCTGAATCATTCTTCTACATTTGAAAAAATGGAAATAGCGGTGAAAAATATGTCTTAAAATAAGAAAAATCATTATTTATTTTTAAAGGAAAATAATTGTAAAGTTAAACAAATTCACTTCTTCTACTTCTTCACAATTTAAAATAAAATAAAAATGAAGAAAATTCATCCTCTGAAATCGGAAAATTATTTCATTAATTTTTTACTAAGGACATAAAAAGCAAAAAAAATCCAATGTCTTCTAACTTCTTTGTTTTCGCTTATAAAGTGGCATATTATGCGATATTTAAAGGTTTCCTTTCAAGTGAAATAAAGTCGAATTTCTTCTTTTTTCCTTTCTTGAAAAAGATTTAATTCTGATAATTTCCATCATGTCCTCAGCACAACAAGAAACATTATTTAAAGAAACTATTATTTATATAAATAAATATATTAGATTTATTTTTAAGCTTTAAATCTTACTCATTTCTGAGCTGAAAACTTTAGAATGGGATATCCTTAATCCCGATTGGTAAATTAATCTGGAGATTAATAACAAGAGAAGAACAAGCATTTTTTATCTGTAGTTTAAGAAAAAGCATTAATCTCGATATCCACCATCCTAAAGTTTTCGGCTCTGATCAGACTAAGGTTTAAAGGGGACCGTTGTGAATGTTTATTTTGCCCCACCCCCCAGGTTAAACAAAAATTGTTTTTTTTAGCCTTTGTCAAGGAACCACATTTTCTTAAACTGGAATCAATCCCATATAACTTTATTAATGATATCATTTCTAGTTTTCTGGACTCAAATCTCTGAGAATCGTTGATTTATCTCACAATCAGCTGAGATCTCTTCCCAGAGATTCATTCCAGCATACCGTCATACAAACTATTGATCTCAGCTTTAACGAATTCCAGGTAAAGATTCAATTCTTATAACTTGAGTTTCACGGTCGTCTTCTTATTCCGCGGTGTCATGGGTCTCACATGCAACTCTGGCCCTTTAGTAAAAGTAAATTCAACCTAAAGTCTGACTGCGTCAATTCCTTTTTGCACTGTCTAGTCCTATTGAGTGTCTGCTTTATTTACCCAATGTCCGGGCGATACAGTACAAACTGGGACCAGAAAGGTTGACCAGGCTCGGAAATTCAAATGTACTACGACTGACCGTGCTCATTGTACATTCATTTCTCACGGTCGTCTTCTTATTCCACGGTTTTATTGGTCTCATTGTACATTCATTTCTCACGGTCGTCTCCTTATTCCGCGGTGTTATTGGTCTCATTGTACATTTATTTATATTTATTTAGGTGATGCCTAATAGTGCTTTAGCTGAGATATCTGACACTGTCCGACATCTGAACCTTTCTCACAACAGTATTCAGCATATAGACTCCACCATGCTCTCCTCCACCTTGAAGCTCCTCTCCTTGTCCCTGGCACACAACAGGCTGACCATCCTTCCTGATAATATCTTTCTTGGGCTCAGCTCACTACTCACACTAGACCTGGCAGATAATCATATTCGGGCTAATTTCAAGGAACAAATTTATTCTAACTTTTATTATACTTTTCATGTATAATCCCCCCCCCATGGCCCTACACACTGCACTGCTTCGATAATATAAGTGTAGTCCAATAAACAGGTTTATTGAGTGATGCAATTGTCATTGATCTTTAAATTTAACTGCTTTGCAACCTGATGGTGTAAACATTTAGTATTAAAAACTTAGAATGTATTATTTGATCTATCCTAATCCATTTGTTTAAAATATCTAAGAAAAGAGGAAGAAAATCATAGTTTGTGGCAAAGACTTGAATTCTTTCTTTTTTAATTGATCTGAGGTTTTAAAAGATGTAGTTTTTATATTAAAAGATTTGGACTTTTTAACTGTGATTGCACATTGATAAATCAAATAAAAAAAGGACAATCAGACTACATTTTGAATGGACATTGGACATCTTTGTTTTGAGTTTGATCAAAGGAATTGAGTTTTTGCTACAAAGTCAATTTTATAAACCCTATCTCTATGCAACCCAATGTCGTAGACCTTTGATATTCTAAACTATATGAATTCTGTTAGATTAAATAGTATAAGTGTGAAATATCAAAGGTTTACACTATCAGGTTGCGAAGATTTGATTTTGTGGCAAAAACTCAATTCCTCTATTAAACTCAATTCCTCTATTAAACTCAATTCCTCTATTAAACTCAATTCCTCTATTAAACTCAATTCCTCTATTAAACTTTCCTCTATTAAACTCAATTCCTCTATTAAACTCAATTCCTCTATTAAACTCAATTCCTCTATTAAACTCAATTCCTCTATTAAACTCAATTCCTTTATTAAAATGTTGCGAATAGAGTTGTGACGTCATCACTTAAATTCCCAGGTTTATTGGGTCACCCAGCCTATAGTAGGCGAGAATACACGCACACAAAAATTTGAACTAAAGAAGTACGTCGATGTTACTTGAATAATTAAGATATCAGTTGACCCGAACAGAAAGCAAGCCTGAGACCGGTTTTGATGATTTTGAGCCTGGTCGCATTAACAACCTTTCGATAGTTCAAATCCTCAATTAACAATTCAAAGATTCATGATGATCTTAATCCGTAATTCAGGATTTGAACCGGCGCTAGGTAGTTTAGCGACCTCTCATGTTCATTAAATTTGGTCCCTGTTATCGTAATTATTATTTTCTAAAGATTTGGTTTAATTGTTCCTTAACCCCATTATTCCATCCTCTGTCATGGTATTTATTTATTAATGGATAGAATCAAGTTTGTTTATTTTGTTCAGGAACTATTCCATTTTACTCAAAAATTAAAGGATCTCCGTCTTACTAACACTGGTCTCACAGCCCTCCCGGAGCTACATCTAACCGGACTCCTCAACCTGGAGCTAGGGAGCAACAACCTGGCCGACCTAGACTGTGGCGCACTAGAGAGTTTAACTGAGTTAAGATCTCTGAACCTAGAGCTGAACAAGTTGACCAACCTTCCTTCACACTGCTGGCGTTTAGTTCCCAGGCTAATATCTCTAGATATATCAAACAATCCAGTCCGGGTTCTTACCAAAGAAAGTTTTCAAGGAATGAGAGAGAGAGAGAACAAGTTGTACAAACTTTTAGATTTTTACAAATTCTTCAAGAAACAGATTAACTCTGTTTAACTTTGACATATTTTGTTTTTACAATGTAGAGGGGGGGGGGGTCATTTTCATTTCAGGGATTAAAACATTTTCAGTTTTCTTAGCTTCTAACTTTGCATTCAGTCAATTATCTTAAGAAACTTGACGCTCTCTCATACCTCTAGGATTGTTCTATCTTCAAACCCTCTCTGTTCAAGACCTGCATGATCTCAAGAGGTTTGATGCAGACTCTCTCTCCCAGCTAACCTACCTCTCTACCTTGTATATCCAGAGTTGGCCGGAAATAGAAAAGTTTAAGTTTAGACTAGGCTCTGTTATTTCAGGTATGGTTATTAGGGTACAGTGAAAATGGCATGCAACATATGAATATCATATGAAGGCTTCCTATCATCTTTTTTCTTATGTGAAATTTAATTCTAAGAACAATTTAGAAAAAGCGTTTTTTGATTGGAAGACATCTTGATTCCCAAATTTGGACTTATTTGTACCGCATTTTTCATGAAATTTACGAAAATCCAGAAACTGTATCTTTGTCAATTTTCTAGCTACAGAAATTTCATTTACCAAAAAATAACCACACATAGCACTTTAGTGGGGACGGAAGCCATAAAAAATGTAGTTTGTTCAGAAACGAATGAATTATGAACACATTTATGTTCTATATTTTTATCGAATTTTCGAATATCTTGGTCTTTACAATAGCGTGTAATATAATCCACCTTAGACTTATGAATAATCCGCCCTAGACTTATGAATTCTTCAGTTAAAGTTAAAATTTTTCTTATTAAATATACGCAAATTTTAAATAAAAGCATAACAAATTCAAATATGTTGAAGTTCTCTGAAAGCTAAACGGATGACTAACTTTAAACTGTCAGGTCTGGCCTCCCTGAAATCCTTGACTGCGAAGATAATGGAGAAGTCTGGTATTCTAACAGATCAGATCCTAGGAGCATTTGGTCCTAAACTTAAAGAGATAATCATCACTGGACCTAATCTCCATACTCTCACGGCAGATGCATTCGAAGGAATGGGTTCTTTTTTAAAATTAATAGATTTATCTAAATTTTCCTTGGATGATAAACAAATTTTGGCAATATTCTTGCTTTTTAATGTTAAAAATAAAAAACGTGTTTTACTTAAAAGAAAATTTTGACGGAAAGGGTATAATTATTATAATTCACCCATCATTTAAAAAACGGCGTAAAGGAGATCTAAAAAGCAAATTTTTATCAGTTTTAAAATCGTGATTGTAGATTTTTTTGAAATGGTCCAGCTTAATAAAAGTAGTTATCTTATATTTTATCTTTTTCAGCGTAAAGATTACAATATTTTTCATTTGACTCTTCAGTCATTTCCCCAAAATTGTTTTTTTTTATGCACAGAAAAGTGTAAAGTTGCAATATAATTTGCTATAAATTTCTGTGGATTAACAGCTGAGGTTAGTTTTCGCGAATTCTAATATTAAATTAATTAGGTTGGGGTTTAATAGTTAATTATTTAATTAGGCGAGCCATCAACCACCCAGAGTAAATATTTGGAAAATCAAGATATATTTTCAATATTCTAGAAAATATGTACTATCTTTATAAATTCACAGTTTATAAATTATATATACATATATATACATATATATATTATACTTATGAGCCAAGAGTTTTATTATATAGATTTGGACAATTGATGTCAGTTTGACTAAAAAGCAAAACGACTTAAAATCATATTTTTTCCTGAGGAGTTTATGATAAATGAGTATCTTTTAAATTAGACTTAAAACTTTTGATTTTTGTCTAAATTCAGGTCAGAACTTTTGAATTGTTAATCCGGTTAGAAAGCCAATGTCCATAACTTTTGTTATTTGAGGGATTAAGTTAATTCCTTTAGTAAGATTCTTCCAAACAGAACCTTGTTTATTTAAAACATCAACCAATCTCCGCTCGGCCAATAAGAGATCACGAAAATATGAGTTAGCTGTTATTTTCTCGGATCAAATAAGAAGATTAATTCTTTCATGGATATCAGGCGTTTCAGATTAGCACCTTCAAAAGTTCCGATATCTCTTAATTTTCTACAAAATATCAGGTATCGATACAAGATCTAATTTTGATAATTATTTCAGAGATAACGCGTTTGAATCCTTAAGCCCGTTTGTACTGTACAGCAACCATACACCTTGGCAACTAGTCGGTACAAAGGTTATGCAAGGTATGTATTGTATTCATGTACTGTACAACAACTATACACCTTGGCAACTAGTCGGTACAAAGCTAGGTTATGCAAGGTATATATTGTATTCATGTACTGTACAGCAACCATACACATTGGCAGCTTTTCGGTACAAAGGTTATGCAAGGTATGTATTGTATCCGTGTATAGTTCTGTACAGTAAAGCTATGGTAAGCAAGGTAAACTTTTCTTTTTAACAAATCCCATGTCAGAACGGCGAAACTGAATTACACAGGAAATTCCTCGCCTCAGATTTTAAATCCCTACATCTTTGCAAGTTGATGGTGGTTACCTTTTGTATTCACTGAGACAATTCTAAAGTGTCGCAACGTCTTGGTCTTTTGTTTTACCTCGCCAACTTACATCCTTTTTTGTAGCCCCAGGCATATTTATTTTAAAACTGCAATGTGCTTGTTTCTGGCATAAATTTAAAATGAGTAATTGGCAAAATACTGTTTGATTTCTGCGTAGGAGAACGCACAACTTGGTTTGCAGTGTATTTTAAAAATTGGCTTGATCTTACAAAATACATAGTGAACTATGTAGTGTGTATTGTGTATCGTGTACTGTGTACTGTGTACTGTGTACTGTTTACTGTGTACTGTGTACTGTGTACTGTGTACTATGTACTGTGTACTGTGTACTGTGTACTGTGTACTGTGTACTGTGTACTGTGTACTGTG